GCAGGGTCCTTGATCCACAGTCTCTCCACCCTACCCGGTCCTGTGGGTAGCTTTGCAAGGCCGCAGCCTTAATAGGAGGGCACTGCCCCTTCCAAAAGGTTATGGGAAACCAGCATGTGCAGCCAGGCGAGGCCAGACTGCCAGGCCCCGCGCTGCTCAGCACAGCTGTGTCCGAGCTCAAGCTCAAGAGATGCAGTCCAGTCCCTGTCCTCTCAAAGCCCTCAGTGCAAGGGAGGGGCTGAGGTTGTAGATGAAACCAGACCCTGTCGGGAGGCGCCCAGCCTTAGCTCCTGGCCTGAGTAGGGCAGGCCTCATGTTGTTATGGTTGAGTTGACCAGCTGGGAATCAGCAGCGGGATAGAAGGAAACCACATTCAACAGGGGAAAGCAAACAGGACTGTCACTCCAGTCCTTTCCCCTGGTCTCCCTCAAAGTCTGCTCCCACATTCCACCCTTCAAAACTCTTTGCATGTTCTCTGAGCCTTCTTGGGTCACCACGGAGCAGCTCCTGGCTCTGACCTTGTTCCTGGGTGGGGCCGGGGAGGCTGGAAAAGCACATCTGTCCACAGCTGGGACCAGAACGTCCCCAAGGCTGTAGATAGGTTGACCCGCCCTGCCTTTGCTCTGAACTGAGTCTACTGTCTCCAGGACAGGTGGCAAGTCACTGGGCCAGATGGTCTGCCATGAGCTATTTTCTGTGATGAAATGACCACATCTGGGCTCATCCCCTGTGGGTGTCTCCCTGAATGTCTTCCTTGAGGAGGTTTATTTGGGACCAAAGATATCCCCAGAATCAAGAGGCATAGTCAGGAGCAGTCATAAAGGAAGGAAGGAGACACTCCTAGGGAAATGGGGTGGAAGTGAGGGGGTGAGGACCCTGAGGAACTGGATGGGGCCTTTGTCAGGAAGAGGACAGGATGCTTAGCTTCTCTCCTCAAACAGGCTTTGCAGTGTCCTTGCTGCTGTGAGGCCCAGGGCTGCCACTGCCACCAGAAACACTCTCCCCTCGCTCCCCTCACATGGCAATTGACTCCACCAACAGGCTACAAATTCTGGCTCCTAAAAGACCCATCCTAGTTGGGCAGGGTGACACATGACACACACCTGTAATCCGACACTTGAGAAGCTGAGGCAGGAGAATCACTGTGGGTTTAAAAATAGCCTGGGCTATATAGCAAGTCAAAGACAGGCTGAATTACAGAGCAAGATCTTGTCTCAAAAAAAAAAAAAAAAAAAAAAAAAAAAAAACAAGAGGAACAGGGACATAGCTCAGTGGCACAGCGCCTGCCTGGCAAGCACAGGGTCCTGAATTTGATCCCCTAGTCAAAACAAACAAACAAACAAACAAACAAAAAGGGACATTTTTAATATTGTTTGGGTCAGTTAGATATGCTAAGGAAAGAAATGAATCTTAATCCCAATCTCAGAGATGTAACAACAATTCCAGGTGAACCGAAGTGCTAAATGTGAAAAATAAAATAAGCCAGCACCTGGCAGGCTGAGGCAGGAAGACTGCTGTAGGTTCAAGACTAGCCTGGGCTATACAGTGATACTCTGTCTCATCTCCCTCCCTCCTAAAAAAGAAAAGTATAGATGTTTTTGGAATAAAACACTGGAGAAACCACATGGCCTTGAAATAGTGAAAAAAATCAATAGGAAACAAAAAGTGCTAGCCACAAAGGATAAGATTGAAATTAATGTATAGCAAATGCATACCCAACTCCCCAAAATAAACCACGCAATATTAATATGCATAATAAAGCTTTTTTTTTTTGTACTGGGGATTAAACTTACGACCCTACACTTGCCAAGCAGGTACTTGTGCCACTGAGCTAAACCCCTAGCCCTAGTAAAACATATTCTAAAAATAAAAAATTGGGGCTAGGGATTTAGCTCAGCGGCATAAGCGCCTGCCTTGCAAGCGCGTGGTCATGAGTTCAATCCCTGGTACCGGTAAAAAATAAAAATAAAAATTGTAAAAAGACAACCCAGAGAGAAGTACATGACATTTTCAATACATATATCCACAAGAGACAAGTATATACAGTATACAAAGAACTTCAAATTGATAAGAAAAAACAGGCAGCCCAAAATAAAAAGGGCCAAAGTGTTGGCTGAGATTTTATGAAAGAAGCTATCTAAATGTCCTATAAACATATGCACTTATTCATCTCCATTAGGCATCAGAGAAATGCAAAGTAGATACACAGTGGAATCCTGCTACACATCAACCAAAATAGCAAGACAAAAAGTACAAAAATATCAAATACTGATAAGGTTGTGGAGCAGCTGGAACACTCAGACACAGCTGGTACCACAGCAGACTGGTACAATCACTCTGGGAAACTTTGTTGGCAGGATCTACTCAAGTCGTGCATATGCCAGCCTTCCATTGCAAGATAGCCACCTGCAAGAAGTTTGTTCTTGGGTTCACCAAAAGTCATGTTCACCCAGCACTACTTACTATAATCCCAAAAGGAAATGGTCCAAATTTCATTTTTTAAAATATGGCATGCTCACAGTAGACTATCACATAAAGTTCAAATGCAGGAAACAGTCATTTCTGGTGTTAAATGACAGGATAATGATTATCTTTAATACAAACATGTGTGTCTTTTTTTTTTTTTTTTTTTTGAGACAGGGTCTCACTGTGCAGTTCAGGCTAGCCTTGAACTCACTTTGTAGCCTAGGCTGGTCTTGAACTTGCAACAATCCTCCTGCCTCAGCCTCCCAACTGCTGGGATTACAGGCGTGAGCCACCATGCCTGGCTTACATGTGTGTCTTTTAATGCTATTCTCTTGAGCAAAATCTGGTCTTGCAGAATTTTTTCATGTAAGGACTAATAAATGAATTTAGAAAAATAAGCTATTTAGCCTGGGCTACAAAGTGAGCTCACGGCAAGACCCTGTCTCAAAAAGACCCCCCCAAAAAAATGGGGCTGGGGATTTAGTTCAGCGGCAAAGCACCTGCCTTGCAAGCAGGCAGTCATGAGTTCAATCCCTGGTACCGATTTAAAGAAAAAGAAAAAGAAGCTATTTAAAAACAACATGTACAGTATCACATCATTTTGTTAAATGCAAATAATACTTATCTGTGGATTGTGGCTGCTATTTACTTTCTTATTATGTCATCTGTTGTTTCTCTTTTCTACAACGATCACGTTACCTGTCATTGTAGAAAATACATGTTACTTTTTGAAATAAAATTTGATTATGATAAGTTAGGATAAGATAACGAGGAGAGAGCTGGTACTTGAATTCCTTAGTGCACTACGTTCAACACAAGAGCTAGGTGAGGCTTTGTTACAGTCCTGGCAGCTACTGGGTCCCCCAGAAGTAAGGGATGAGTAAAGAAGCAGAATGTGGTACAAAAGTAGATGGAGCTCAAGATCCCTACAGAGAAAAGTGGAAGCTTTAAGGACAGTCCAAACTTTCCTGACCTCAGCTGTGACACTTAGCCCTATGTCCACCCAGGCATAAGGCTCCACTCCTAATCCATGCAACAGTCTTTCCCATCTTGACTGATCTTGGTTTCCAATTTTCTCTTCAACAGGGCTGCCTTTGCTGAATGCAGTGCTCGGCAGTATGTGGATGCCACATTTTCCTGCTGTGTCGATGCCACTCAAGCTCCCTATGTGTAACTATTCTTCATCCTCCTGCACACCAGGATGACATCAGACAATGAACCAATCCTCTCTCCATCAAATATGTTGTGCCATTTCACGAGCCTGGACTTTTTTCATCTATGAATCAGAGAAAGATAGCTAGAAAAATCCCTGTAGGCTTACTACACAGGATGGAAAAAAATCTTACCACCCAGTGAAGGAATTGAGCTGTGAATTCTCTTTATTTCTTATGTAGCTCCCGAGAAACACTGTCTGTCCTGCAAATCTTAAGAGGAAAGGCTAGGTGTTGCATTTTACTTTCACGTGTCAAACTTGTAAAAAGAGCTATCTACATAAATATAAGCAGCTTATATTTAACATTGTTTTATCACATCTAATCTTCACAACCCTATAAAGTGGATTCTATTACTTCCACAAATCTATAGTTCACTGTTACTATGTGTCAGGCACTATACTACTGTGCTAGAGATATGAGAGGCCACAAAAATCTCTGCCTTGCTGGAGTTTTCACTGCTGATAGGGGGATACACACTACACTACACAAAACAAATGTAAAATTACAATTGTATCAAAATTAAGTTGGAGAGAATTGCAGAGAAACAGTATCAGAGAAATCAGGGTTCACCTTGGAAATGAAGTTTCAAGTGAGCTCTAATAAATGAATAGGACAGAGCTGGGGCAAGCGCTAGGTTGTGAATTTTTTTTTTTTTTTAGGTTGTGAATTTGATCCCCGGTACTGGAAAAAAAAAAAAAATGAAGAAATAAGTAGGACAGGCAGGTTGCTGCACATCTGTAATCCCAGTGTTCTTGGTGGCCAAGGCAGGAGGATCACAAATTTAAAGAACCCAGGACAATTTAATAATGAGTGTGAGACCCTGTCTCAAAATTTTAAAAAAGGAGCTGAACCTATGGCTCGCTGGTAAGCACTTGCCTAGCTTGCTAGGGAGGAGGAGTGGAGGTAACTAAAGAGGAGGATGGTGAAGGATGTGCTCATTTCACCCAAGGTCTGATACCTGTTACTTAGCGCCAGAGACTCTAATCATTTCATCCCCTGCTGTAGAGCACTAGCTCCGGTCACAAAAGCTGAAAATCCAAAGTTGACTTGCTCAAAGGAAGAAACCAAAAAAAGGGGGGGGGGGCAGTGGGGGGAGGCAGGCCAATGTATGTGACTATCAAGAAAGACTTCCAGGAAACCGAAGCAACTTTGAGGCTGGGGACTGGCAGATGCTAGCAGATCACCCCCGAACCCTCGGAACGCAAAGACTTAACACAAACGCCTTCCTCTCTTCGACCAAATTGGAGAAGGCAAGAGCAACCAAAACGACCGGAGGAGCCGAACCCCAGCTCCTAGACTATCTCTGCGGCTGCGCGCACAGCGCCCCGGAAGCGGAAGTGCAGTTGAGGTTACGGGGGGTTCCAAAATGGCGGCCCTCACAGCGCTGGTGTCCGGCTGTGGGCAGCTGTTCCGAGGGCTCCTAGGGCGCCCAGCCGCCATCAGCTGGGCTCGACTACCAGCACGCGGGTTCAGGGAAGGTGAGTTCCGCGACCCAGAGACCTCCCATTTCGAAATCGAGCTGGGCAGCGAGTGTTTACCCCAGCCCTGTGCTTCCTTCCCTTCGTTTTCGCCCCGCGATTCTCAAACAACTGACGTGATACAACCCAACCCCTGCCGGCCCATTGAGACTCTTGGTTGTGTTGCTTGAGCTCCTGTCCCTTAGCAGTGTCCTCGGGAAGCGGAGGAGGACGAAGAGAAAGACTTAGTTACTCAGCAAGGGTAGAGAAGCCTGCAGCTTCAGACATCGGGAGTTTTCAGTAAGGGGCTACAGGTTCATTTTTTCCGTATTCTCAGAATCGCCGCCTCCTTCATTAAAACGTTCCCGGCCCATGAAGGAAGGATTCTGGAAACCTACCCTAGAGAGTTCCTTTGCAGTTTCTAGTCTGAAAATGCTGTGATCTGATGGTGCTTTTTCTGCCCAGACCCGCCAGTCCCTGTAAGAGGCGAAGGACAGGTGTAAAGGCTGTTTATCAGGCAGATGCTGGATGCTGGCTCTGCTCTTCACTGATATTGTCTGGAAGAGTAGCTTGTTACTAGCATCAGCTAAGATATTACTGAAAGCCAAATATACTGTGCTTGGATTTTGAAGACAGAAAAAATAGCCCTTTTCTAAAAAACTTGAGTTCTAATGAGATAATATGTATGCACTGCAGGAAATGTGAGTTAGCCATTTACATGACAAAGTACAAGGAGATTCAGTTATGGAAGTAGCAAACCTAGTTGGATATTTTCATTGAGAATGTTTCTTAGGAAAGACTGGAATTTGGCAGAGTAAAAAGATCTTTTAGGAGTCTATGGCCTGCCTTTCTATACTGATGGAAGCTGGAAAGGTGAGGGATGTGCGAAACGAATGATGTGGGTCTTTTAAAGATTCTGGCATAATATTAGCCTGCCAGTGTATCTGCTAAAGCTGAGAGTTGTCCAGTGGAAAAAAGTAATCATTATTGTCAGAAGGGGTAGAAAGTTCAAAAGGAAAAGCCTAAGAAGGGACTGTGAGATTTGTCTCAGAAGAGGTCTTTCTTTTTAGCTTACAAACAGTAGTTTCAGTAGCATGGCAGAGTTCCTTGTTCCTAGGTTGGAGAAACCAAAGAGATAGTTGGAGAAACAGTAATACCAGGTATAACTGAAGAATTCAGCTGTGGAGTGTAGATAGAAAAATTGGTGGGGGAAAAAAGTCAAGCTACTGCCTGCTTAACGTAAAACTAATAAATTAATTTTAAAAAGACACCAGAGAGATCATGTTATGAGAGAAAGGACTTGGATAAGATATTTTATGTATTCCCATGCTGTCATTAGCCCTGGCTCATAATATTTTTTTTTTTTTTGGCTCATAATATTTTTAACAGTGTCAACCAAATATAAAATATTAGTAGCTATAAGTTGCATATGTCTTGTATGAAATTCAAAATTGAAACAGTTCTTTTGCTATATTCCCAGGAGAAATCAAAAGAATACTTTTTTGTTTGGTTGGTTATTTCTTGTTTTATTTGGCTAAGACAGAAATTTGAGGTTAGTTGAATTTTTAGTTGGAGTTTGTGAAATTATAAACTATGTAATCATATGAGGGTTTTGTTGGTTTTCTTTTCTTTTTTTTTAAGACAGGGTCACATTGTGTAGTTCAGACTGGCCTTAAACTCACTGTGTAGCCTAGGCAGGCCTCAAACTCATGGTGATCCTCCAGCCTCAGCCAAGTGCTGGGATTACAGGCGTATGCCACCACACCTGGCTTGTATGAGTTTGTTTGTTGTTGTTGTTTTTTTTAATCTTTTTATCGGTACGGGGATTGAACTCAGGACCGCCTGCTTGCAAGGCAGGTGCTTATGCCACTGAGCTAAATCCGCAGCCCTGCTTGTATGAGTTTTTAGAGTCTAATATTCCATAAATACTTAGGTTGGTAGCTCTTCTGCTTATTAGTCACTGTCACTTTTAAGTGTTAAACTGAATTGATGTAATATTACATGGAACCACTATTCTGTTTGTATTTTTGAGAATCATCTTTAAAACCTCTAAATGGGGATAGAAAGAACTTCCTTTTGATGATTTATCATTTCTAAAGCACGAAATATTACACAGATAGCTAATTTTCAGTCCCAGCTGGTATATTTGACATCTGAATAATAATATACAATGTAGAATTTAAAGTTGTAGAGAGGAATCTGGGTCTCTTGCTGAGAATATTCAAGTGTTGCTTTTCAAAAATAAAACTAAAGTGTTAATCAGAGTTCATGAGAACTGAGCATCAGTATTCCTGTCAGTGAAGACTTGCAGTCTAAAGCAGTAATTCTCAGCCTAGTGCAGTTTTCTCTCCTGGGAAACATTTGGCAATGTCTAGACACATTTTTGGTTGTCATAACTGGTATTACTGGCATCTGTTGGGATGAGACCAGGGATGCTACAAAATGTCTTGCAACACACTTGACAGCTCCCCACAACAAAGAACCATGTGACTCAAAATATCAGTCCTATTGCTGTTGAGAAAGCCTGGTCTAAAGTTTGACAAGAAGGACACACAAGATCAAAAAAGATTATGGAAAAATCAATACTGAAGGGAGAGAAAAAAGCTGTAGGTGATGTGGTAGGTTTTCCACATCCATTTTGTTCAGTCATCTTATTTTCAGAGTGCAGGAACCCAGTTCGAAAGGTTCCTGTGGTGTCCCAGCATCACCGATGAGTGACGGAGTTGGAGCAGAACCAGCACTCTTCGCTCCCCTGCGGGAACCTCTCCTTGATGCTTCCTGACAGGCCCTCCCTGGGGCCTCCTCCCTGAAAGCTCTTACCAGCTAACTTACCGAAGACCATTTGGTCCCTTCATGCTTGGCACTGCCAGATTTAGCAAAGGTTGTGTTGGACCTTATCCTTCTGGTATCACTTAGAACCTCTTTCTTTTTCTTTTTTTTTTTTTTTTTATCGGTACCAGGGATCGAACTCACGACTGTCTGCTTGCAAGGCAGGCGCTTATGCCGCTGAGCTAAATCCCCAGCCCCGAACCTCTTTCCACAAAATGTATTTTTAAAAGAAAATATAAACGTAGGATATGAATTGACCGTCCTCATCGATCAGACACTTTCAGCGGAGTGCAGTGAAGTGAGAAGAAGCCAAAGGGAATTTGCTTCATTTGTTTTAGTTAGCCAAGAGACCTGCAGACCTGATATTTCACACAAGAATACGCTAGGAGGGTAGACAGCCCTATAACTAAACACTTTGAGAGGGAATGCTTCAAAGAATTCAGGTTGTGGGGTACACACTTGTAATCCTAGTTACTTGGGAAACAGGCAAGAAGATCACAAGTTTAAAGCCAACCTGGGCCACTTGCTGAGGTTTTGTCTCAAGATAAAAAGGGACAAGGAGGTAGCTCAGTGGTCGAGTGCTTGCCTAGCATGAGTAGGCCCTAGGTTCAATCCCTAGTACCACGGTGGGGTGAGGAGAGATTGTCCCGAGGAACCTGCTGATGGAAACAGATTTTCTTTTTCTTTCTTTTTTTTAATTTTAAGCAGCAGTGACTCCTTGCCCTGAAGCCTAGGGCAGAGTGCTAGTCCCTCTGAGGTCCAAGGGAAAAGAAGGGGAATGATAAGACAACCAGAAAACATTAATAGAATTAAAGAGGGACTGGGGAAGTAACACTTGCAGCAGGAAGTTGTTTGAGAAAAGCAGTCAGTGGCCAGAGGTGCTAGCCCACATCCCAAGGACGGCACTCTGCTCCTTGGCCTGACGTGCGACTGCCAGGGCGCTGTCTGGCCTTCAGTTTACCCATTCCTTTATCCCCTGCTAGGACCTGCCTTCCAAGGAGCTTTCCGACAAAGGCCATTGTATAGCAGTGGCCTGCACATCGCCCCCCCCCCCAGCAGTTGGGCTTTATACGGCTACGGCTCACTGCATTTGTGTTTGTGTAGTCGTCAAGGTCTTCTTCGTTCATTGCAGTCTCACCACAGTGTTTTTTGCTCCAGACTCGTACAATTCAGTTATCTTGGACTCCATCCTAGGCGCGTATTTACTGAAGTACTCAGAGGACCTCTTTACGAGGCGTGGGCTTTATTATGATGAGGTTCCCATGCTTGGTTTAGCTCCCTCTCCTCCTACAGGACAAAGACTGTGCCTTTCTGTTCTGTTGTAACCACCCGTGGTGGGTAGAGCCAAGTTGTGTACCCCATGGGCGCTCAGCGGATGTGTTGCCTCATTTGGAACAAATTATTTTGGTGTCTGAGAAGTGCTGTCTTGAAAGATTTTGGCCATTAGCTCGAGTTTAGAAAACTGCCTCATCTCTTTCCATCGTTTACTTGATTCCACCGTATCTCAGAACACAGGGTGATTTCATCTTTTACTAAACAAGTTTTCTGTTAGTGCCTAAATCTCTTGATCCAGCTTTTCTTAGCGACCCCCCACTTCCTCTTGAACAGAGAGGAGGCCGGAGACAAAATGGATCTCAGGTTTTGTTTGGTTTGACATGTTTTTCTGTGCACACTGAAAATCAATACTATTTTGATTCCTATCTCCTCTTTCCAGAGGCTTAGAATCTACTGAGGGCCTCTCTGGGCTCCAAGCGTGCCTTTTCCCCTGCACCAAGGCACCACCCAGATCTGCAGTCAGCAAGCGGATCAGTCTTGAGCAGTCTCTGTCTCCTGTGAGTTCTCAGGTCATTTCTCTGGTTTGACAAATTGTCCCTTAGATAAGCATCTGCCTATTGTTTTACCCACTGGCTCCTAGCAAGTCCTGGCTCCCAGTTGTGCATGGAGAGCTGTGAATAGTGAAGCTTGCCATGGGCTTTGATCTCTGCTCCAGGGGCCAGTGGTATGACTTCAGGGCTTGGGTCCTGGCCGAGAGTGATGTATGTTTTGTTAGACTTGTTTACCTCATGGTTAGGACCCAAGTGCCTGCCCAGAGAAGGGAACCACATGTTTATTCTCTGTTTCAGGGCATTGTTCTTCGCTGACTCCACCAGTCCCAGAATGTGTCTCTGCTTTTGTTTCCTTGGGGCTGGCTTCTCAGCAACCTTCCCCCTACCCAGGACTGCTCAGACTTGTTCACCCTCAGGTCCTTTCCCAACATGGTTTTTGCAAATTTGCAGTTTCTGGAGTACCTAGAACCTGGCTGGGCTGGGATGTGCCCGCTTCTGCCCCGCTGCCAGCCCAGGCTGTGTGACCTCCCTCCCCTCTGCAGCTGTGCTGGCTTCAGACTGCCCACCAGGTTGAGTCTCACCCACATCCCGTTCTCGGGTTGGTCTCTGTTCTGTACAAGTGGATCCGTGTGTGGGGTGACGCAGTTTCTTTTATGCAGAGGAACCTAGCTTGCTTGTGAATTGATTAGTGACCACAGTGTTCTCTGGAGAAAGCCTCCAGCCCTTGCTGGCCCTAGTTTCTGCTTTGTATGTCCGAAGTTGGACACCAAAGGCTCTCAGGTTGGTTGTTTTGGAGTAATGAATGGATTGCCCCGAAAACAAATGGGGACCAATTCCAGGCAGTCTGTGTCCAATTAGGTGTCGGTCACAGAGCTCAGTGATCACAGATGCTGCCATGGCCTCTGGCTGGGTTAGAATTCATTTTTCTCCTTAGACAAACCTTCTCTTTTTACTGTTTATTTTTTTATTGCAAAAGCAGTATATGTTTATTTTAGAAACTGGAGAAAATGCACATAGAAGACATTAAAATCACCTAGTTCTTGAGGGATAAGCAGTGTGACCATGCGGTTCTCTCACACATATACACAATTGGCTGGTGCCTCCTATGATCCCTGGCCACTGTGTGCACAGGATGGACATTTGCCTAGGGAACAGCAAGTGACAGGTTGCAGCCTCACTCTGAGCCAAGTGTTCTCATGTAGTACTCAGCAGTTAGAAGGTGACCCTGGAAGCATTCTGCTCCCTCAAAATGGCTAGCATTTATTGAGCATTTGCTATGTGCCAGTTTCTATGCTAACAGCTATGGCTTTTTTCTCTAAGGAAACTGGGAGAACAAGAGAAAATCTCCGAGCTGGATGTGGGCTGTTAGCTTGGTTCTTCCTTTGGGTGCTCTCGGTGTTGTAGCTCTGCATCCTCACTGTGTAGGAAATGTACACAGCCAAGTGGTTGTGCCTCAGCTATCTTGCCTCTGGTTCTCTTCCACTCCTCAGGCCTCAGCAAGCTCAGGAGTTTCTCCCAGTTTGGAGTGGCACTGCTGTTCTTCCTTTCCATCACCTCTCTCTAGCCTGCACATAATGTCTTCTATGTGTATTTTCTCCAGTTTCTCCAGTTTCTAAAAGAGAGGGGTAGAGAATGGAACAGAGAAGAGGTGTGAACTCATGCAGATGTGTGCAAGCAGTGGGGCCTGGGACAAGCTAGCAGGCATTCCACCTGAGAGCTGTAAGCCCAGTCCTTCCTGCAGAATGAACAGGACCCTGAGCTGCATTTTAGCAGTGAACTCATCTCCTGGATTAGCTGCTGTGGGGCAGCTGTGAGCTCAGTGCCATTTTAGATGGAGGCCCTGTACAGTCAAGCCACCTCTAGTTCTGTGAAGGGATGCTGCAAAGGGTACTTCTGGAGTCTTTTCACTGTCACCCCCACCAGCTTTCAAGTTATTCTTGCCAGCCACAGCGGGGCGGGACCTTCCCACTTCTATTGGATAGACCCAAGATGAATCTCAGCTCATGAAAGCAAAAGCAGGTAGACTCCTGCCAAACATCCAGGGCCTCCTCCAGCAGCTCCAGGGTGCAGTCTTGGCACAAGAGGTGGGAAGGACCCCTGCATGCTCTTGTCCCAGGTAGGGGTGGTGGCAGAGTGCAGCCTGAAGGCTCCTTTTTTCTGCCTGTGTGGAGTCTGAGCTGACCTAATTTTACCCTTTATCTCTGCAGTGGTGGAGACCCAGGAAGGGAAGACAACTATAGTAAGTATCATCACATTGGCCGCTGAGAACTTCTCAGCACTTGGAACTGCCTGGCTGCGCCTCAGAGAGAGGCGGAGGCCCACACTGGGCTCTTGGCTCTGCTCCCTCAGTGACCATAAATCCCACAGTCTACTAGTTTTCAAGCTGTGTGCTACAGTGTGGTTAATCAGGAACAGTCGCTATGCCTGGGCTGAAGAATCCGTTTTGATTAAAGTGACCTTTTGCGTGTCAAGGTCTCACAGTCTAATACATCCTCTGGCAAATGATAAGTCCATCTCCCAAAGGGGAAACCAAGGCAATGAAATAGGCCTGGATCCTCGTTAGTATAGTGGTGAAAAAAGAAATAGGCCTAGAGGGCCAGAATAAGTTGACTCAGAGCCAGGGTCCCTTCTTTCTGCTTAGAGTAACTAAACTACTCTTTAAGTGACACTTTCAAAAGGTGGCCTTCTCCGGCCCTGGCCACACTGGCGGGTGCCTTGGCATGCTGCTGGGAAGAAAGCCAGAGCAGCCCTTCACCTACCCGCTGCTCCCTGCCCCCATTACCTCCTTTCCTCGGGGAGTCATGGGGCCTAGCTTATCCTGTAATCCTTACAAGACAGCATTGCTCTCACGTGGCCTGCTGAGAAATCCTCCACCACTCCAGAGCCCTCTGTAACTTCTGTGTGGGTCAGGGATTTAACCTTCCGGCAGGCTGGAGCCCAGCGTTCCCCGAGGAGTTCCATCCCAGGGTGAGCCCTTCGGGTCAGGGTATTCCCTCAGCCTTCCCATTAATTAGCCTGTGCCATTCTGACTTCTAGGGGCCCCATTTCTTTAGGGCACCTCTTCTGGTTCCATCATTAAAAGCCAGAATAAGCATTTATCCTAAAAAGTTCATGCTGGAAGAGAGAGGCCTTGACCCGAGTGGAAAGCACTTTTCCTGTGGGACATGAGTCTGCTCCTTGGGGATGGACAAGGAGGCACTGCGGAGCCAGCGCTGCCTAGAGAGACCTGCACGGCCGACTTTAGCTATCAGTCGGGAATAAGACCAGGAGCCTGCACGTAGGTTGTGGGAGCTAAAGGAAAGGATGTCTGTGACCTATTTTTAGCACAGAGCCGGCCCTGCAACAGGAGTCGATAGATGTGGGTGCTGTCCCTGGCCACTGCAGTGCCTCCTCCCCTGGGGCTCGCCGTGCACCTGTGAATTCTCTCCAACCCACAGTGCTCCTTTTCCAGCAGCTGTGGACACCACAGCAGAAAGGTAGTCAGCAGTGTCCAGCACAGCCAAACAGGCTTCACGCCCCTGCCCCTTGGGACATTGCTACTTCCCTGCAGAGCTCAGACCTGACTCAGCCCCTGGAGCCAACCCCTAGATCTGTGATTTACACCAGAGCTGTCTCAAGGCTGTGTCCCAAGGCTCCACAGCACAATGTGGAGGTCATTTGCTGTGTGACCTCCGTGGGTTTCAAAGGTAGCATCCAGAAGAGTAAAAGCAGTGAGGCCGGAAATATATCTACCATCCCTGTGTTCATTCCCAGACAGCGCAAACAGGTACCGGCCCACATGGCCTTCTCCCCTCAGCACCATCTGGAGCTGGAAAATTCTTTGTGTGGCTGCCCTGTGCAAACGTATGACGGGTTGCAGTGTCCCTGCTAGATGCCAGTAGCAACCCTTCCCCTGGCCCTGACAGTCAAGTGCTCCCAGATGTTCCCTGAAGAGCAAAATTACCTCTGTTTGAGACCTATTGGCATAGACCTTACTTTATAAAGCTGGTGATTGTGGTCTCCAAGGAAGAGAACCCTGGGACAGGATGGTGACTACCTTGGGACTCTTGGTTCTTATACCACCTAAAACCAAGTGCATTAGTACGTGTCCCAGAGATGGGGAGCACAACTTGCTTCATTGAGGAAGGAAAGGTTACATTCAGCCTGGATATAGCAAACCTTTCCAACCACACCAGTATTAAGTTCAGATCAGCCCTGAATGCCACCAGTCCACACCCGTGTGGCCACCTCGAGTGGTTGCGCTGGCCCTGACCCTTACACCAACTCTTTCTGCCTCCCAGATCGAAGGCCGCATTGTACCAACACCCAAGGAGAGTCCAAATCCCCCTAACCCCTCAGGCCAGTGCCCCATCTGCCGCTGGAATCTGAAGCACAAGTACAGCTATGAGGTGAGTCCACCCAGATGCGTGTGGCCCATGTATCACCGAGGTACAGGGCCTCCCCCTTTGTCACCACTGCTTCTCACAGAGACACCAAAGACAGCAGCATTTGTCCCGTAGCTGCCAACTCGGTTTCACATTAGAATCTGCCAAGGAACTTTCAGAACTGGTGCCCCAAGCCTGTAAGCCCAGCAACACTCAGGCTGAGGTAGGAGGATCATACATTTGAGCCAAGCCTGGGAAAGTTAGTGCAGTCCTGCCTCAAAAAGGGCTGGAGTTTTTAGCTCAGTGCCAAGTACTGAAGCAAAAGAAAGATGCCCCAGCTCCGCCTCGGATAACCGCATCAGCCTGGGAGTAGGGCTGGGCACTGTTCAAGGCTCCCCGTGATTCTAGCAGGATCCCGTGACTACAGGCAGGGCTGGGAGCCACTGACCGGGTTCATGGGCCGGTTGTGCCTCAGAGCCCTGGGTTGGGTTCTCCAGGGATGCAATCAGGCCTGGGCTTGGCTCCCACCTCTCCTGATGGGGCAGCTCGAGTTCTCACTGTCCTGGGAACACATTACTGTCTCTCCATACTGGAGCCTTGGAGCCCTTGATTGCCCTGCAGCTGGAACAGCTGCTCCTGGAAGGAGAGGATGGGGAGCAGTGCCCATGGGTGGCGAGTGCACGCCTTGTGCCAGGTCCTGAGTGGGTGCCTGTACCTCCTCATGCAGTGTCCATGCCAGCCCATGAAGGAGGAACTTTTCGAGCCTCATTTCACAGATGAGGACGTTGAAGGCCAAGAGGAGGAGTGAACTGGTCAGGCTGTCCTGCTGGGATACAAACCACCTGGTAGAATCCAGACAGAGCCTGAGTTGCAGCCCCTGGTAGAGATGGGAGGGTCAGGCTGGGATGCAGCCCAGGGACTACACCTGCTTCTGCAGGCTCACTCTGGTGACATTAAATGCTCAGTTTTAGGTTTACAGGCAGTCCTAGCTTAGACCAGCTTGACTTGCAAAATTTCCCTGTGCCCCTTTGGGGGGCGGGGGGGATATGACCCCAGGCAGACAGCTTGGCCTCAGGTCACATAGGGCAGAGGGAGAGGCAATCACCCTGCCCAGGGCTTTAATGTCAGTAAGTGTGCCAGGCAGGACATGGCAACAGGATATGACCCGCTGGGAATCCAGCTACTGATAGGGAAGCAAACCCACACCTGCCCGGCCACTTGGGGTCCTCTTCCTGCCAGCAGCTCCAGGAAATGCTGTGGCTCAATGTGCAGAGGGAGTTCCATTGCCTGGCAGCCCACGCCCCCTTTACGAGCCCCAGGTTAGACCAATCCTAATTCTTCCCACCTGATTCCAAAGCTTACACGGGTGAGAATGTGTCCCCAGGTCTTCTGGGGACAGCTGTACCCTCAGGCCAGCCTGGGTACAGAAGGCAGGAGTGGCCTCCCTGTCACCTCAGCTCTGTAGTCCCGTCTTCCTCACCCATCCAGAGCAGCTGTGGGCCTGCAGTGGCCACAGAAGCCCAGAACCCATTCCCACTTGCTCACGGGGACTTACAGGACAGGGTTAACCTCCCAAAGGGCCCTTTACTTGGCACCTGGACCCCCCTCCTGCTTTGGGGCTCACAGGAAGGACATTTGATTGTGCTGGACCTCAGCTGGGAGTGCTGACATGGACTCAGTTCCAAGGACACCCACTAAATGTTCTGCCACCAGGAGGTGCCAGTGCCGGGGAGACTGGCACTTCCAGAGTATCTCGTCTCCAAGTCTGTTGGGGGCACAGCAGGTCCCGCCAAGTGGGGCCAACTGTGTCAGTGGAGAGGGCAGAGAGAGGGCGCAGCTCCATGGGATCACAGCCGCTGCCTGTGGTCCCCCAGGATGTGCTGCTGCTCAGCCAGTTCCTGCGGCCCCACGGCGGTATGCTGCCCCGGAGTGTGACAGGCCTGTGCTTAGAGGAGCACCGCAAGGTGGAGGAGTGTGTGAAGATGGCGCACCGGGCAGGTAAGGCAGGCATGGCTCCCGACATCCTGGACTCCCCGGCGTCAGTGATGCAGCGACCACCGTGTGCTCTTCCTCCCCAGGTCTGCTCCCGAATCACAGGCCTCGGCTTCCCGAAGGGTTCGTCCCAAAGAGCAAGCCCAAGCTGAACCGGTAAGCAGTGCCGTGCACCCACCCCACCCCACAGGAGCTGCCGGCTGCAGTCAGAGCTGTGTGCAGCCTGCAAGTTCAAGCCCCCCACTTCCATCACATCCACCATGGCACAGCTGTGGTGTTGTCAGCTTCTGCCGCCTTCCATGCTGGCCTAGACACTGGCGAGGAGCATAGGGAGGCCTGCTGATTGGGCACGAGACTGCTAAGCCCCTGCGTGTGACCTCACCGGGTTGCTATGGGGATGTTAGAACACTTCTGCAAACTCAGTCCCCTGGCTTTCTCTAGCCCTGGGGTTATTACAGGGCAGAGTAAGGCTCAGAAACAGGAGCAAGGCCTCTAGGGTAGGACCACTGTGTACAGCTGTGTAAGTCGTGCACTGTACCACTTTAGACCAGTGTCCCTGGGGCCTGGATCCCAAGTGCTGCTCTTCAGAGGCATGAAGTTGGTGGTGTATACCTCGTCTAGCGGCTGGAGAGGTCCTGGGGTTTATAGACGCTGGGATTGGCCGGCCTCCTACCTAAGCCAGGTGGCCCCTTCAGTGAGAGGGTTCCAGCCCTCCCTCAGGCAGTGCTGGGCCGATCCTCTTCTCCCATGTAACCTCCCCACATAAAGCTGAATCTGGAACGTTGATTTGAGGGATCCTGTACTCCTTCCCAACAGCCCTCCCATCCCATCCCATCCCACCACCCCTGGGGTGGGGAGAAGCTGCAGGTAATGGGCCAAGCTCCTGGGCATTTCCTGGCTGTGAAGCAGGGTGCGCATCTGACGCTCTGTGCCCAGCTCCGCCTGTGCCCCCCCATAATGAGTGGGACCAGCTCTTCACATGGCAGGCAGGTAACCTTTTCTCCGCTGGGTCTCCCCGCTGTGCCATGGCCACTTGGGGGCTCAATCCCTTCTGAACCTTTAGGACACTTAACAGGTCCCAGGACACAGTCCAGCCTGCCTGGGTCTTTAAAGTCCAGGCAGCTACCCCACGTGCATCCAGTGTCCTTTAATGCGATAGAGGATTATTGATGTGTGAGGCTCATGGGTTGCAAAAGGCCTCCTGGGGGAGGGGTCCTGGCTGTGAAGGGAATCAGTTCTCTCTCAAGGGGCTCTGCTTCCCTGAGGTCCCTGCATGCCATGCACTCACCCAGGCCCTGCTTTGTCCCCACTGGTGGGACAAAGCCTCAGTGTATCCCAGTGAGCCCCCTGAAGTGGCTGCTCCACGAGGCCCAGGCTTCCGGCCTGTATTACCTGAAGCCATGCTTCCTCCCGGTGACTCCCAGGCTGGGAGAGGATAGCTGAAGGTGGTAGAGCTGGGTCGCCCTGGGGTCCTCTTGGAATCACCCTATCTGCACAGCCTGTCCCGCAGCCCGATGTCCTCATGCTCTACAGATGGGGGCAGCCACAAACAGCCATCAGGTAGTCCCTTTGCTTTGCCCTAGAGCAACAACCATGGAACATGCAGTCCCAGGGCCTGGCCTGCAGCCAGCACCCGGCCCCACGTGGCCCTCCCCTCCCTACTGGCACATGAGCCGGGCAGAAGCCTGAGGTCAGAGCAGCTCTACTGAAAGGCATAAATCAGCAACCATTTTTTACGTTTTTCATCCGTAATCGTTCAGCCACGGTTGTTTCTTTAAGAGCCTTTTATCTGCAGGTCTCCAGGGGAACTGGGGCAAGCCTGACCTGGAGTGGACCACGGGGATTCCTGGCCTTGCTTGTAGGGTGAGGGTGGACCTTTCTGGACAGCACCCAGGACTCATTCTGGACAGAGGAAACCCCATGTTTCCAGGAACAAGCAGGGCCCTGGCCATTCCTGAAGGAGGCCAGAGGGCCATGGGCGGTCACCACCTTTCCCACCCCTCGTGTTCCCAGAACCTCTCTGGGCTGAGGCTCACCAGCTATTGCTCATCCCTGAGCAGCTTGTGCTCTGGCAGGGTCCTGAAGGCTGAGGTGGCGAGCAAGCCAGGGCTGGAGGATGCAGGCTCCTGGGCCATCGTCACTCCCCATCCCTGCTCCAGCCAAGGCCTCTCATACATGAGCCCCGAAAAAGAAAAGACCAGAGGAACTAGGCCTGGGCCCCCCAACCTGGCCACACACTGGCAGCGCCAGCCCACTGATCCATTATAAGACATAGTCACTCCCAGGAGGATCCTGGGGGAGGCTGGCATGGCCTTGGGGACGGTGCCCGGTGCTCACGACCACTGCCTATGCTTCCTCCATAGCTACCTCACCCGCTGGGCTCCACGCTCTGTCAAACCCATCTACAAAAAAGGCCACCGCTGGAACAAGGTGCGCATGGCTGTGGGCTCACCACTGCTGAAGGACAACATCTGCTACTCGGGTGGCCGTTGGACGCTGTACCACTGACCTAAGGCTGGCCCGAGCACCTCCTGCCCACCTCACCAGGGTGGCCTGGCTCCGCCAGCAAGCAGCACAAGGGACAGTGGTACCACTTCTGTGCCTGGGCTCCAGGTACCACAGTGGCCTCCTGACTGCCGTGGGATATGCCCAGTGCTAAGGGCAGTTTCACCCTAGGGACAGTCATTTATAAACCAGGCTCATGGCTTCTCCGCCTGTGTGGTGCATGCTGTCTCCTGGGGAAGGGGAGCCAGGCTAGGGGCTGGCAGGAGCCCCAGCACAGGTACAGCTAGGGGGTCTGTGCCACAGAGTGTGGCCGCCAAGGACAGCGCTGGGCCAGGTGTCAGCCTCCAGGCGGCCCTCAGCTGTCACACAGCTCGTCACCACCGCTCCTAGGGTAGGATGGAAGAGGTGACAAAGGTCAAACTCATGCCAAGGCTCTTCCCTTTTGGCAACTCCGGGAGGGGCAGGGCTGCGTGGCCCACATCGCTCTCATCTGAGCCCCAGGAGCAGCCATCTTCACGAGTCCCTGGCCACCATCTCCCACCGTTGTCTACCCCGGCAGTGTCTCTGTTACTGTGTTGCATTTCTTGGCCACTGCTTTGGAAATTGGGTTTCTGGCCCAAGGGACCTCTCCTTGCAGCCTGGACACCAGAGGGAGATGGAATGAGGTAAGGCAGGACAGAATAAATAGGCCAAGTTCACAGAAACTTAGGAAAATACTGTTTAGGCTATGCGGAGGACACCCGAGCGGCCCGTCCTACAGCATGAAAGGCAAATCCATGTTCTTCTCGCCGGTGCCCACGTAGATGTAGCCGTGGTTCCTGGTGCGCGGGGTGTGGAAAAAGGTCAGGCCCGGCCACAGCAGGCTGCGCAGCACCACCAGCGAGTTGCCCCGCTCCAGCTGGATGCTCCAGGACCCTAGGGAGGCAGGTGAGGAAGGGGCGGGTGTCATCTTGTCACCACCACTCATCAGGGAGGGCAGAGACAGTGAAAAAGGTGAAACTCACGCCAGAACCTGTTGGCAAGGCTAGGGGGCTGGTGCCAGGGCGCACCCCACATACACTCAGCTCCCGGGCCCTGGGGTGCCTCATCCTAGTGTGAGCCCACTCTGCACTGAGAAGGGCTCTGTCGCCTCAGGCCCCCTGCTCCATGGCCTTGCTGGCAGCAGGCAGGCCAAGCTGCCCCCAGTAGGAGGGGACTGAGCTCCACTAATGAGCCTCTCCATCCCGGTTTCTGCCCTAGTTCGTGTTCCTGCAGACGGGAGCAGCCCAGCCGCCACAAGGACTTGGCTGGAAGGGCCGGATCCAGCTCCAGGTCCAAGGGAGGGAGCCGTTGTGTGGGAGGAAGGAGCCTGGGAAAGTCGCCTCTGGATGCAGATCTGGGGCTTCTATTCCCCTGCGCATGAGGCCTCTCCCGAAGCAGCCATGGCCCTGCTCCCGCCCTGCCAGGAAGGCAGAGGCTTTGAAGGTTCTGGTGCTGGACCCGGCAGCACGCTGAGCTCCATGGCCTTCATCAGTGTCCAGCTCAGGCCCGCCACTTGGCTCCACACCCAGCCTCTCATGGCCCACCCCAGGCACACCGCACCCAGCAGCCTCTGACCCCACCCTCGCCCCCTGGGGCCACCCTGCATCCGAGAGACCTGCCTGCCAGGACCCCGTGACCCTTGTGGCAGCTCAGCCCTGTTCGGGCAGCCGTCGGCCCACGCTCAAACCACAGATTTCTAAAGCTGGGAAGTCAGCAGCCTCCCAGTCCCTGACCACACAGTACAGGGACCCACGCGTGGCATGGTGAGTGGGAGCCACATGCCGGACCTGTCAGTTCCTGCAGGACTTGGGAAAAAGCAGAGACGCGACTCTGGGTCGCTGGGCCCACAGACAGCTGCTCAGTCAGCCCTGGCCTGCTGTTTCCCCTCCTTCAGCTCCAGCGAGCACTGCCTGGGGAGATGAGGGCGGGAACACAGAGTGCCGTGTTCTCAGGCCACTGTGCTCAGACTCTGGCAAGAAGCACAGGTCTGGGGAGGCCCCAATCCCTAGCCTTCGTCACCCCACCGGCACCCTGAGTGTCATCAGGCCAGCTTCCTGGAGACGCGGTTCCTCCCAGTCCTCAGGTCCTGGAGCCACACGCACTGAGCCAGGGACGGCCAGGCCTCCTCGTCCTGTGCCCACACACAGGCTGGCTCACAGCCTCCTGGGGCCACGTGGTGCCTGCAGTCCCCCAGTCCAAACTGTGGATACACTGCCACCAGTCTGCTCACCAAGATCACTGCCATCTGGGGCCTGCAGGTCGGAGGTGCCTCTTCCAGCACAGTGGCCCAGGAGAAGCCTCGCCGGGAAGCTGGGGCGAGTGGGCACCCTGGTGAGGCAGGGGGACTGCCAAGCGGGAGGAAGGTGGCAGTGCCTGCCGCTGAGTTGCTGGCCAGCACAGCACTGCCCCTCCCTCGCTTGCATTCTTGTCACACTCCTGCTCTCTGCCATGTCCCAGCTTAGCTGGTCGCCCAGGAAACGCAGACTCTCTGTGACGTGCCATTAGTCACGTAGTGTCTACCTGAGGAGCCAGGCCTCGCTGTCACCTTCCCTCACTTTCTACTAAGGTGCCAGTGGACCTGGGCCCAGCCACCAGCCATGGCACCCGTAAGACTCCAGAGAGCAGCCCTGGGCTTCCCAAGTCCCCTCAGCCCTCTCCTCGCAGGGTGGCCACCCAGAGGGTTGCATTGTGGGCACAGCCAGGGATGGGAGGGGTCTGAGCCGCTGGCAGGAAGCGCTGGGTCACCCAGGCCGGGCCCCACCTGCTGCCTGCCGTGGTGTGCAGACCTCAGGCCCAAGCGCACTGCTGAACTCCACCTTCTACCTCCCGCTGCCGGCACCCGTCCTGCTGGAGCGGGTTGTGGGGAACAGGGCTGCCCTTGGCAGTGGGCACTAACCCTCTCGAGGCCAGTACCCCCAACTCAGTCACACATGGAAACATGACCATGTGTCCCAGTGGGAAGCCCCCCTGCCCCAGTGGGGCTGGGTGATAGAGCTGTGTCTGCAGGCCTGAGCGCGGGGAAAACAGTGGCACCACGGTCCCAGCCTTTGACAGGCAGCAGGGCCTGGCCCTGGCGCAGGAGGCACAAGGACTGGGTGGGAAGCACCATCCACATAAACACCCAGAAGGCTGATCAAAGGGCACCGCCCGTTTCCCACTCCTGTGTCCTCCGCCCCATTTCCTACCCCAGGGCTACCTCTGCCGTTTCCAGGCGGCCAGCCCCTTGCTGCCCTCTGCTGTTCAAACTGCGCCACAGCTGAGCTTGCCCACCTGTCTCAGTTCCTCTCCCCAAGTTTCCGGGAGGTGAAGGGACCCCTCTTGTTCCCAGCTTGCCCTGGCACAAGGCAGCTGCCAGTGGTCATGCTGATAGAGGGCACCCATGACACATGCCACCTAGAAGTCTGACCAGAGCTCCAGCTGCGTGCTGCAGCCTGGGGTCGGTCAGAGAACTCAGCCACTGCCTGTGCCCTCCAGGAAGGGTCCCCTTACCTTGGAACCAGGGGTGGCTCCAAAGTCATCCAGTCCCCTAGAGCAGTGCAGACCCAGGATGCAGTGTGACAGCCATGAGGACACAGTGATCTTAGCCAATACCCTCCTCCCTCTAACTGAGGCTGCCAGTGATGAGCTGCTGAGAGCTCGCACCTCTCTGCGAGCAGAGTATGCATCCCTGTGACAGGGCCACTTAGCCACACCTGTTAGGAAAAGACACCAGGTCACCTGGACAGCACTCATCGAGCACAGCTGTGTGCTGAGCACTGGACAGAACTCCTAAACTAAAGGTTGAGATGCATCAAGACGCAGGGATGTCTCGGGAAAGATACCAAACCTACCTCCAATCAAGACTACTCTGGGTCCAGCAATCCCACCTCTGGGTGTGTTTCCAAAGGCAGTGAAACCAGTTTGTCACACACCTATACACTCATGCTCATGCCATACTATCCACAGTGGCCAAGAAATGCAGGCTACCTTGGTGTCCATCAGCTGATGAATGGCCAGAAAAGATGGGGTATGTATACAGCATGGAGTACTATGTAGCCCTAAAAAGGGTGAGATCCTGTCATTTGTGGGATTATCATGAGGACGGCTGCAGGTCATTATGATAGATGAAAAACCAGGCACAGAGAGAGAAGTACAGCATGAGCTCACTTGTGGAATCTCAACAACTCCAAGGCCCATTTAGTGAGTGGCTACTGTGATGGGGCCTGGGGAAGCCACGTCCCCAGAGGCCCCCATAAGTCACCTATTCCCCCAGGTCTCTGGTTCTGCTCCCCAAGGAGAGTGGCCAGTGTGATCTTACCTTTAGGAATGTCATACTCCAAGGAGTCCAGGAAATCCAGGGAGGGGTCCAAGTCCGCCTTCTCCAGCAGTGTCTTGTTCTTCAGGCTCACAGGCTCCCGGAAGTGGAAGTAGGAACTGAGCTTCTTGGCCTCCGACAAGGGCAGTCCTAGAGAGGAGGCTGCCCATGGGTGCTCAGCCCCGAGACTTGGACCCTTGTCCCCCAGCGGGGGCCACACAGGCACTGGGGAGAGACGGGACCGGCTCTGCAAGCAGGACAAAAGCAGGGAGCCCCAGCAGAAGAGATGGGGGCCAGTGAGCAGGAGCCAGCAGCAGCCCAGGACACAGGGCACAGGATGGCCGTCCCCTCCTCCTCCCTTGCCTCCAAGGTACCGGAGGGCGCTGGGGAAGGGAGGTCCGGAGAACATACCCTCAAATGTCCGGTTGACATGGACAGGCCCGTAGGGGGTCTTGAAGAATGCACCCCGGGGGATGATGGCCACAGCCTTGTCAATCTGGTCGATGACAGATACCAGGCGAGTCTCTTCCTTGACCTGGACCTGGGGAAGCAGGAGGAGGCCTGCTGCCAGGTGCTGTGCCCACTCTGCCCAGGTGCAAGGACCCCCACACCATCACCAGAGCTGCCAGGGCCCTGAGGTCATGCTGGGCAGACCCTTGGCCTGCCTCCTGGAGATTCCTGTCTGCCTTTCCCTCCTGTTTTCCCTTGTTCCCTTTTCTCACTCCCCCTCTCCCTCCCTCCTTCCCTTCCTTCTTTGAATATGAATACAAATGAGTGATGTAATGTTCACAACTACAGAAGAAATGGGCACGGCAGTGATGCATGTCTGTAATCCCAGCACCCAGGAGGCTGAGGCAGGAGGACTTCCACAAATTCAAGTTCAAGACCTCCCTGGATTACACAGCAAGACCCTGTCTCAAAAAATAAAGCACTACAAAACAGTCTTTCTCTCTGACCCTGGAATTGCCCTCACTAGGGATAGACACCATGAACAGTCCATGTTCCCATCCAGAGATACACTATTTTCTCATCATGTTTAAATGTTACTTTTTCTTGTTTTGAGGGTGGTTGCTTGTTTTTTTGATTTGACAGTGTCTTGCTGTGTAGCTCAGACTGGCCTCAAACTTGTGGCACTCCTCCTGCCTCAGCCTCCCAAGGGGTGGCTGAGACTACAGGTGTGTGCCATGCCTGGATTAAATGTTGCTTATTTTGCCTTTTTAAAATATGAAAGTAGGGGGGCTGGGAATTTAGCTCAGCGGCATAAGTGCCTGCCTTGCAAGCAGGCAGTCGTGAGTTCAATCCCTGGTACCGATTAAAAAAAATGAAAAAGTCCAAAAAAATAAAAAATAAATAAAATATGAAAGTAGGGAAGCCCACTCGGGACCCCTTCTGTCTTTCTTCCTGGAAGCTTTCTTTCTCTCAATAAATATATTCTACTCTTCGCAAAAAAAAGAAAAGAAAATATGAAAGTAGGGCCTGGAATTTAGCTCAGTGGCACAGTGCCTACCTGGTAAGTGTGCGTTTGATTCCCGGTAGCCAAAGAAAAATAAAATAAATTTAAAACATATGAAAATAGCCAGGTGTGTATGCTTGTAACTCTAGCATGCTGGAGGCTGAGGCAGGAAGACTGCCACAAGTTCAAAGCCAGCCTGAACTACACAAGACCCTATCTCAAAAAAAAAAAAAAAAGCCAGACCATACTCACTGTAGAACACTTGGATAATACAGAAAGACATACTTAAGAAGATTAAAGCACTCATAAACCCACCTCCTGAAGGTAAATCACTAACATGTTGCTAGACTAGCTGTATTATTTTTTTGCTGCATAGATTCACAGTAAAATTTGAGACACAGTCATGGAGTTTCACACACATGAACTCTCTGGTGTCACACCACACTGCAAGCGTCTTCTCACATTATGGCTCCACCCAGAAGAACCTAATTGTGTTAACACAAAGGCCACCAGGACCAAAAGAACTTCGCAGAGCCAGCTGGGGAGGGCAGCCCTGGCCAGGAGCCCAGGCCACCTGCTGTCCCACCTGCCAGCTGCACGGCTGTCGAAGGAGAGCTAGATAGAGGCATCTGCATGTGCATGGGCCAGGGCTGGGAAGCCCTCAGCTCGCTGGCTCTGTAGGAGCCCTGCAGAGGGAACCAGCCCAGTTCTGCAGACCGCGATCTGGGGCCCCGGGAGGACATCTAGAGGGCAGGTGCCGTGGAAGCAGTGGAGACCCCACTGCCCAGACAAACAACTGGGGTTTGAACTCTGGCTCTGCCAGCTTCAAAACTCAGGCTCCTTGCTGATCTGCAACTCCATCTCTAGCAATTGATCCTTCAAATCAGGTGCTCACACTGCAGATGGCATAGGTAAGGGGTCACATGGTTTGGCACTATTTGCCAGGGCTGGGAGCTCACAGTCCACAAATCCATGACCCAGACATGAGTTAAAACATCACGAGTTTCCACACAGGCACAAAGGATAGTGTGGCTCTTTTGTTTCGTCTTTTGTGTTTGTTTGTTTGTTTGTTTGTTTGTTTGTTTGTTTGTTTGAGATAGGGTCTCACTGTAGAGCACAAACTAACTTTGAACTCTCAGCAATCACTCTGCCTCAGCCTCCAGAGTGCTGGTATTATAGACACACACTACCACATCCACCTGGGGCAGCTCTTTAGGCCACTGATGCAGAAGGGTCTCCAAAAGACACTGTCAAGGGACACTGTGTGGGAGCATGTGGGTCACAGGCCGTCATCTGGTTTGTACCTAGCTGAGGAGCATGTGCAGAGGCCAGGCATTGACTGAGATTTGTGTCTGCATGCGGTGGCTGCACCTCATACTCCCTGGGATCTCAGAGCCCCTGGGATCGGGCAACACGCAGGTTACTGATGCTGCCACCTAAGGGCCTGCACTGAGGACACCCATGCATGATGGTTACACTGATGTCACCCAGAAAGAGGGCCTGTGTGACTGCAGGTGGAGACAGAAGAAAATGTCATTGCATTCCTTTGTGCACCGTGGAACATGGAACCATGATTTCATAAAACAAAAATTGATGGGGCTGGGGATTTAGCTCAGCGGCATAAGTGCCTGCCTTGCAAGCAGGCAGTCGTGAGTTCGATTCCTGGTACCAATAAAAAGGAAAAAGACAAAAAAAATTGATGAAAAACATAACAAGGCGGGGTGCAGCCCAGGGGTAGAGGGCCTATTGGGCTGGGGAGAGGCCCTACTGCACCCCAACACCTCACCCAAAAGAAAAACGTGCACCATGCATGTATTTACATTATGTTTCACATATATATTTATGTGTATCGCATATACATTTACATGTATCACATAGACACCTACATGTGCATATATGTGTATCATGCATGTGTGAACCACAGATATATTTACATCTGTCATCGGTGTGTCACATGTATTTTTGGTGCATATATATGTGTATCACATATTTACACACACGTGTGTGTATCACATATGTATTTGTGTGTACTTACATGCTACACTTATGTGTGCATGAATATTATACATATATTTGCATGTGTATATGTATTGCATATATGTGTGCATACTACCTGTGAATGCCTGTGTGAACCTGGCATGACCCCCTTCCCAGGGACCCCCAGGCTCCACAAGAGCTCCCCCACCTCCCTGGTTCTGGCCTCCTGTCTTAGCCTATCCACACCTCAGTGTCCTCCCTCTATCAGTAGGAGGGGATGTCTGTCCTTCGCAGTGGTGTGAGGGTCATAAGAGCTACTGTTCCAGTGGCCGAGCCCCAGGCAGACCAATGAAGTCACGAGAATAATACTCGTGGCCCTAATTTCTATTGGGCGGGCATGGGCGTGTGTGTGCTTGTGTGTGTGTGCTTTTGTTTTGCTTTGTTCTGGAGGTTGGGGCTCAAGCCAAGCATCTTTGGGTTCCAGCTCCACCTGAGCCCCCATCCCAGCTGGCCCAAGTCCACTTCCTCCTCCTCCTGTCATCCTCCTCCTCCTCGCCCTCCTCTCTCACCACCACATCCTCCTCGAAGGGCTTCTCGCCCTCGGACGACATCTTCTGGAACTCGGTTTGCTCATACTCGTGCGAGGGGTCCCCCATGAAGCGGCCCTTCACCGTGGCTACCTGCGCGGCCATCTCCTCAGTGGCAGGGGGCAGGAGGCTCCACTCCATGCAGTTCAGGCTGCAACGACATGGTGATTCTGGATCCACCCCCAGGCCTCCCGCTCCTTCCCTAGCCCTCAAAGCCAGGGTCCCAGTGCTGTGAACAGCACCTTTCCCTCCTTTGGACCCAAAGCACTGGGTGCCCTGACTATAGCCTGCTCTCCTAGATGAGATGATACAAATGCAATTGTATTGTTTTCAGGTCACAGAAGTGTCAAGTTTGGATGCTCCTCCACTTTGGTTGAGGTCACATCCTGATAAACCCATGGTGAATTGAAAATATCATTGAGTCAAAAATCTATTTAAGCCAAGCATGGTGGCACACACCTGTAACCCCAGCACTCGGGAGGCAGAGGCAGGAAGATCGCTTCAAGTCTGAGGCCAGCCTGGGCTACAAAAGAAGTTCAAGGCTAATCTGAACTGCATAGCAAAACCCTGTCTCAAAAAGACAAAACAAAACAAAATACAGAAAACAAACATAAAAAAGCTATGTAATACACCCAGCACAGCCAAAACACATCATAGGACAGGCTCACTGCCAACTGCCTGGCACCCCAAGTGAGGCACAGCCTCCCAGCCTGGGGAAAGAGATGGATCCAGTCCAGCACAGTTGCTACAGAATGGGCAGCCCTTCCCCACCATCACCAGGCTGAAAATGCGCTAGCGGAAGCATCGTCACAGGGACTGTCTGTGTGCTGAAAGAAGGAGAGTCTCTCCAGGACATCAGATCTCACTTCTGTGCAGAACGTTTGGGCAGCTTCCCTTGAGCCAAGCCTTTCAATGCCCTACAAAGGTCCCCATGATGGCTTCCTACTGTCCCTGAACTCACATCCCGCTCTGCTTTCCTGTACTCACTTCTCTCTAGCCGCTCTAGTCTCTATGGTCTTCCATGCACCCACCACAGGCCTCTGCACCTGCTCAGAAATGGATTCCCTCAGACACCCACCTGCTTCACCCCCTGGCACTTCAGGTCTCTTCTCGGTGTCATCTTATTAAACAGGTCATCTCTAAGACAGTACCCCAAAAATTGGGCAGGGTGGTATGTGCCTAATTTGTGCTTGACCCCACAAGTTCAAGCATTGGACAACATAGGAAAACATCATATCAATAATAAAAATAAAATTATAAAATAGTAGCCCAGCCCAAGTGTGGGGATATAGCTCAGTGGTACAGCACTTGCCTGGCAAGTGTGAGGTCAGGAGTTTGATCCACAGTATAAAAAAAAAAAGACCCCCAAGTTTTCCTTCTGGACTTCAGAACCATACTGAAGGCACAGGCCTTCTTCTTCCTTTGCCAGGGCACCTCACACCGAATTCTGGTGTTTACTCAGCTGCCTCTGGAAGTACAATGATCCTGAACCCCATCACCACAAGGCTCAGCAGCCCGAGTCCTGATCTGCTCCACCTCATCTTCCAACCTGCCCTTCCACTCCCTCGGCTGCTTTTCCCTTTCAAGCCTCATCATCCGGGCTCTAGGATGACTCCTAAATGTACAGCCCACTTCCAGGCCCTCCTTGCTGAGAGTCCCCCCAGTGGCTCGCCACACCTCGTGGCCTAAGCTCAAATGCCCTGGCCTCTCCATCCAGCTCTGCAGGCACACACCCCAACACACTGGCTGGCTCAGGTCACCTCCCTGCTGAGGTGCAGAACTGATCCTCTGACCGCAGGCCTGTGTGCAGGCCAGGCGATGCCATCCTGCCATCTGTGCCACCTGTCCTGATTGCTGTCTGGATCTGGACCTTTGGGCTCCTTTATGAGCAATTCAGTTCTAGTCTTTACTGCCAAGTGACCCATCTGGCCCCCTCCCTAGAGTGTGCATGACTCTGTGGCAAGTTTCAGAACAGCAGCTCCCACAACCGGCTCCTATCTGGCTTCCCCAGTCCGCCAGAACTGGGGCCCTGGTACCTCTGCCAGGTGAGCTCCCTACCCTGAGCTGCACTCAGCCCCACACAGGGCTTCTATGAGGTGGCCTCCTCTCTTGGGGAGCCTCCATGGGTGCGTCACAAGTTCCTGGAACGTGGGTCTCCCCAGCTCCGTTCCTGTGCCTTCCCCACCTGTAGAGTGTCTTGCGCGGGGCCAGCTGGTCCTCGGCCAGGCCCTGCGCGATGTAGTAGTCGGCCACGATCCCGAGGATGCGGCCCCAGAAGAGAACGCGGTTGTAGCGGTAGTCGCGCTTCACGAGCAGCAGCGAGGTGAGCAGCGCAGCCCGCCGGTCGGGACTGAGGCCTTGCCCGCTGCCGGCAGCCAGCTCCAGCGACAGCATCAGGCTCTCGGTATCCATAACTCTGACTCTGCAACGTTCGCCGCGGGCCCACGCGTCTCCATGGCTACTGAGGCCCCGCCCCCTCCCGCCCCCAGGACCTTTGCCCCGCCCCTAGGGCCTCCGCCCCTTCCAAATTGAGGCCAGCAGTCTTTCTCTGGCTCAAGTTCCTACCCGGTCCACTTCCTGGGTTATTTCGGGCCACGAGCCCTTTCACGAACTGGACATTTAGAGCTTCACTGTATACACATACAACCGGAACGTGGGAAGGAGTACAATACAGCCTCGACACCAGCTGTCCCGGCACAGGCTTACAAGTCCTGCACTCCAGGAGACTGAGGCAGGAAGATCAGGAGTTCCAGCCCCTGCCTTAAAAAAAATAAAAAGGGCTGGGAATGTACCTCAGTGCGACCGCCTGGGGTTCAGTCCCCGGTGCTTGGTTGGGGATGCACCTAAACACTGAGACTAGTTGTACTATTTCAGCCCATTGAGGCATTTTTTTGGCCTCAAATTTTCTGTTTGGGTTTTGTTTTGGGGTTTGTTTTTGAGAGAGGGTCTTGCTGTGTAGTGCAGGGTGACCTTGAAGTCACTATATAACCCAGGCTGGCCACAAACTTGAAATGATCCTCCTGCCTCAGCCACGAGAGCGCTGGGATTACCATGCCCAGCTCTGGTCTCAGAATTATTTCAGGAAGAGAATCTAAGAGGCCTCCAGGCTGTAAAAACCTGAGAATCTTCCCACCCCAAAAACAGATCTTACAGGACAGGATCCATCCATTCGGCACTAGATGCTCCTTTGCCTGCCCCTTCCTGGGGCCAGTCCACCTGTGTCCTGCGAAGATTAAGCAAAATTGAGCCAGGCTTGGTGAGGCACACTTGGAATCCCAGCACTTGAGGGGCTGAGGAAGAAGGATCACTATGAGTTTGAGGGCAGCCTGAGCTACACAGTGAATTCAAAACCAGTCTGAATTTTTAAAAAAAATTAAGATCACAGGGCAAGGTCATAGGGCCACACAGTGAAAATGGATGGTGTGCAGGGGGCACAGAAAGGGTGGTGCTTACAAGCTACACTTGCCCAACTGCTACTGCCTTCATTGACTCCTTTGGGTCCCACCGATGTTGCTGTTCAGGCTCAAATGTAACCACAGATGCAAGGGCGGGGCCCACTGCAGCTGGGGCACTGCACCCCCAGGCCACTGTACCTCCACCTCTGGTCCCAGCCAAGGACAATGCAAACACGTTTCTCAGCAAGCCCACTGCCAGGAAGAGCTGGGCTTTATCATTTGGGTTTTTTGTTTGTTTTTGAGTAGGAAAAGATCCTTTATTGGAGTGGACAGAGCATGCACGAGTCCATCATCAAACCACTAACAGCAGCCAACGGCCTTGGAACCCTGTGTGGGGACACACTGGGCAGCACAGCTGTCCCCACCTGTCCTCACCCCTGCCACCTGGCAGACACTTGAGACACACTTGGTCCCAAGTTGGGGACCTGGGCAGGGGGAAGGGGAGACTGGATTATTTAAGAAATCATCCAGGCTGGGGATTTAGCTCAGCGGGTCAGGCACTTGCCTGCTAAGTGTGAGGTCATGAGTTTGATCCTCAGTACAAAAAAAAAAAAAAAAATCTACTGACTTCTCACTACTGGGTCTAAATGCTGAGTTTGATCCCTGGTACCACAAAAAAAAAAAAAAAAAAAGTATACACTACTAGGTTTAAGTACCCTTTAACCATTACGTGACACCTGTTAAAGCATAAAAACAAACTCAAAGGGGCTGGGGATTTAGCTCTGCAGTACAAGGGCTTGCCTTGCAAGCATGTGGTTGTGAGTTTCATTTCCAGTACCAATTAAAAAAAAAAAAAAACTCAAGGAAAGTAAATACATTGGCTCCTATGTGGTTGGATGGGAGTGTGACCAGCGAGGTGGGTGACCATGGCCTAGGTGTCCTCGTGCATGTTGGGGCTGTCCAGCTGCAGTATCATCAGGCATGGCATTGAGCTCTCACCCTCTAGCTCCACCTGCTCCTGGTCCCTCGCTTGGCAGCATTTTTGTCCCATTGTTGATGTAGGTAGCATAGGAGGATGTTTGTCTTCTCTGTCACAATGATCTGTTCTGGCAGGTACTCCCAGATGGGCAGGTAGACGCAGGGGCATTGGTTCGGAGCCTTGTACACAGAGGTGGCATGGAATCCACTAAAACTGCCTTTGCTGTAGACAGGCAACCCTTTCAGAAAGTTGCCATCCTCTGTTCTCTCTGTTGCCACCTGAGCTGCCGCCTGAGCTACTGCCACATGGCAACTTCCAGCTGGGCACAGCACACCCTTTTACAGTTATTATTAAATGGTCTTTTCATTTGGGGATTCCTTTGAGAAGACTCATGAAATCAAAATGATCTGGGCTCCAAAGCCAAGCCTACAGGCGTGTGTCTAAATTACTCAGTAATTACTTTGTTTTATCTAGGTATTATTTATGCAGGCTTTAAAAATAAATATTGGACAGCGCCTGCCTGGCAAGTGCTGGGTCCTGAGTTCAATTCCTGGTACCAAAAAATAAAATAAGTATTGGAGGCATAACATGCCTTCCATCTCAAAGCAGCTCACAAGCCCCCTCTTCACAACCTGGAACCGCTCCTTTTGGCCCCTTCCCTGCTTCCTTCCCTTGCTGGGAAACTTAGCCCAGTTCCTCTCCCTACAAGTTAAGCAGACAGAGAAGAATCCAAATTCTGGCTGGTGGAAGATGCTTCCAGGGCTCACTGCACAGAAAAGAGCCTAAGCATTCGGTTTTCACTGATCTGTCCACCTATTCACAGGAGGCTTCAGATCAGAAACTAGAATCCGAAGGGAGACCCGGGTAGAACCTCTTTGGAGGACAAATCCAGGCTAATTGCGGTACCCTCAGCCTCTGGGTCGCTGGGTTCAAATCCATGTTCAGTCCCTCGGGCTCCCCATCTGTAGCATGGGCAACCACACGCACGATGCAGTGTTGTCAGATTAGACACCAGGAGCTGCGTCTTGGGCATGTAAGCAACTGGGTGTTGCCGGCATTGGGCAACACAGGCCAAGAGCCGGCCTCCCTGTGGGTGTGGCAGAACTGAAATTCTGAATCACGTAGATCTGAAACTCCATGACATCTGCAGGCTGAATTAAAATACAGTACTTTAAAAAAAGCCAGCACCTGGAGGCTAAGATGTCCAGGAAACAGAGTCCAGCCTGGGCAAAATAGTGATGCTTGTCTCAAAACAAGAAAGGAAAAAGATAGTACGGGGGCTGGGGATGTACCTTAGGGTTAAAGCATTTGCCTAGCATGCCTGAGGCCCTCAATTCCAGCCCCAATGTCACTAAGATAAATAATTTTAAGAGATTTTAACATAGGGAGCCAAGGTCAGTGGCACTATAATCCCAGCTACTTAGGAAGTTGGCCAGAGAGATCACAAGTTTGGAGCCAATTTAAGTGATTTAGCAAGATTCTGTCTCAAAAGGGCTACAGATGTAACTCATCGGCATAGTGCTTGACTAGCATGAGCAAAGGCTCACGCAAAGGTTCAATCTCATTTTAAAAAATGGGCTGGGGATATAGCTTAGTGGCACAAGTGCCTGTCTTGCAAGTGTGAGGTCAGGAGTTTGATCCTTGGTACCATTAAAAAACAAAACAAAAAATCACACACAGTGAAAATTCCTCATACATGTCAGACACTACGTTCTCAGCACTTTACACACATTATCAAACCTAAGAACCTTGCACCATCTGTATTGCTATCTCCCTTTATTTATATACAGAAACACTTATTGGAATTCCAAATATCAAGTTTAGTCATCCAAATATTGCAATCTACTTTTTAGTTTTCCTCACAATCCAAAAGGTTGTGTTTATAATCCCACTGAGACATTATTGGAATCCCAGCAAGTTCATTCCAATCTACCACCACCAATGTAACCCACGGCGAGAGTAAAGACACCAAGACATATTCCAAGTTAAGAGCAGCCAAGGGTCCTCCGTGAAATCCTTTTGAGGACACATGGACAAAAGCCTTGATCCTAGGCCTCTCCCAGAATTTATCATCTTGTAAAGAACAGGGGTGGGCAGGGATGAGTGACAGGATGGCGGGAATTACCTGAGTAACTTGAGCTGGCTGGTCAGGTGGGAGAAAGAGATATGCAGAAGGATCAATCCACATAATCTAATTAGGGTAGCAACTGAATTGTTTAGGGAGGCTGGGGAGTCACAGCCTCTTTACCTTGAGGCTCTACCCAGTTGACATTCCCGAGCGAGTGGCTCTAACATCCCGCTGTGCTCATATCCTGTACATATCCTATATGGAGAACACTATGGGAGGAAACAGGACTGTCTGTTGGCTTTCAAGATTACACGCCAGCTTTATTTATAATGCTTAGAGCCAATTGAACAGAGAAGGAAATACCATAGCCAGCTCTCTACATATCAATATAAGGAAATGAGTCTCCAAAAACAAAGTTGCAGTAATTGTTTTGCATTCAAGGGGAGTCACGGGGGTTGTCTCCCAAAACACTCAGGCCACACCATCTCCAACACTAGAAGTGTGAGGATTTTATCCTCAATTTGCTTCCAGGAAATGAGCAGGGGTTTTCTTCCATGGGGTCCAAGAGTGCCCAATCTTTGATGGTCACGCCTGTGTCAAGCCAGAGGCACCAGCCAGGTTCATGATGGCCAAGTCAGACATAGCCGAAGAGAAAATGCCAAGGCAGGAGGACAGGGTTTTGCCGACAGCTATGGCCAGCAGCCATCAAAAAACTACAGGGAAGGGGCTGGGGATTTAGCTCAGCGCCATAAAGCGCCTGCCTTGTAAGCAGGCAGTCGTGAGTTCGATCCCTGGTACCAATAAAAAGGAAAAAGACAAAAAAAAAAAAAAAAAGAAAAGAAAAGAAAAGAAAAAAAACTACAGGGAAAAGAAATAGCAAAACAAAACAAAACAAAACAAAACAAAAAATAAAAAAAAAAAGAAATAGGGGCTGGGGATTTAGCTCAGCGGCATAAGCGCCTGCCTTGTAAGCAGGCGGTCGTGAGTTCGATCCCCGGTACCAATAAAAAAACAAAAGCAAAAACAAACTACAAGGAAGAACTGGGCAAGTTCCAGAAAACATTGGGCTATGGGGAGAGAGCCCTTGTGAAGACCCTTCTGTCTTACCCCAGTCCCTCAGCACACTTCCCATGACACTGCCCTCCCAGATATAAAGGCTAGAACAGGTCCCAACAGTAGAGAGGGTTTCCAGGGCTCCTTTTAAAAACAGCTCCCCAAGGCCAGCCTGAACAACCAGCAGCAGCAACCCGTGACATCTAGCAACAGGCTACTGGTGACCATCTGCCAAGGAATAGGGCAGCTCCCACATTGGGGTGGTCTTTTCTTTTTTTTTTTTTTAATCGGTACCAGGGATCGAACTCATGACCACACGCCTGCAAGGCAGGCGCTTATGCCGCTAAATCCCCAGCCCCTGGGGTGTAGTCTTATGGGGAGCAATTCCCTGCAGGGTTCTCTCAACTATAGACTAAGCACAGGCCATGCTGTGCCCTTACAACCCTAGGCTTGCACCAAATGGCCTGACAAGCTAAGTTCCATCCTAAGATGTTGCCTCTGCTCTGGACACACAAATCTAAGGGAAACTTAAGGGTCACATAGATACGTATGTGGCAGGGAAAGAATGCTGGGCTGGAGGTTAGCTGATGGGACTCTCATCCCAATTCTGCTATCAAATCACTTATAGAAGTCATTTAATTTCTAAGACAGGCCTGGAGTTAGGAAAGAAAATTAGTAAAAGAACCTGGAAAGCCCTGAAGCTGAAGAAGCCCAGAAGAAAAGCAAAATAGCCTCAAGGTTGAAGTCTCTTTGAGTCAATAAAATTTAATATGATTCCATTCATTTCATAAACAAATTTATCCATCATTAGCCACATGCACATATTACTATGGCACAAATTCTGAAAGAACACAGATACAGCAGAAAAGGCCACCTTTGTGGAAATGTCTACGGCCCCATCTCTGCTGTTCCATCCCACACAGAAACAACCTAGCACACTCAGGGAAGATCAGCTTGATTCAGAGAAGCAGCTCAATGACGATGATCACGGCCCCGGCCACACCTTCAGCCCATCCCGAGCTGCCTTCTCTGACCAGGAAGAAACTTTGCTCACAAGAGACGAGTGACCAGGTGCCCTCAGTCACTCATGGAAACCTTTAAGCATCACTGGTGCCTGGAACCAAATATAATCCTCGGAGGCCAACGCTGGGACGGAAGGTCTGCCGCAGGACAGGGTCACGGTGAGTTTGTGACCCCGGGTGGGCACTCGGTAGTTGAGTTTGGGTCGAAACCACTCCTCTCCACAGTCGCGATGCCCCTGTACCATGACAATGGTGCCCATGAGCGGAGGAGCCTGCAGCTCGCTGAAGGCATCTGCCAGGAAGATGGCCCGGAAGAGACGCCGCAGACAAGCAGCCGTGCTCAGGCTCTGGTCCATGCTGAGGGGGGCCAGCCGGGACAAGTCAAGTTCATAGAACTCCTTGGGGCTTATGACACTGCCTCCGAGGAGGATCAGCACTCGTGGTATCAGTGTCCGGGCAAAGAGGTCCTCAAGGTGGCTGAGGACGCTGTCCAGCTCCGCCAGCGCTTGCTGGCACTTCCTGCTGCTTGCCTCGCTAGCAGTCCGAGGTTTCTTCCTCACGATGTCCTCTGTCTGTGAAGACAGAAACGAGGGAGAGACAGACAAAGTATGTGGGAGCGCCTGGGATAATACAGTCTTGGACCAGGGGATAGAGCTTATCGGCACAAGCGTTTGCCTGGCAAACATGAGGTCCTGAGTTTGATTCCTGGTACCAAAAAACACACACAGAACAGCAAAGACAGTACTCAGGCTAGAGGGCATCCAGACAGAAGCACAAGAAAGAGGAGTACATGGTCTAATAAAGGTAATTCTGGAGGTTCTCCAGGCAAGCACAGTAAGTTAAATACGCAAGTTATTAATACATGCTCACACTGAAACAGTGAAAAAACTAAGCAAGGAAGAAAAAAGAAAGTGGAAGGTAAATGTGAGAAAGACTAGAGGACAGGAAGACAACAACTTTTAAAAGACAGATACAAGGCATGGCAGTGCACACCTTTAATCCCAGCACTCCAAAAAGTTGAGGCAGGAGCATTGCCATGAATGCAAGGCCAGCCTGCGTTACAAGTAAATTCAAAAACTATATATCAAAAACAAAATAAAATGAAATATAGATAGATAGATAGATAGATGGAAAAATTGAGTTTAAGAGCTGAATATCAGCTACTAATAGAGGAATCTTAAAGAAGCCTGGCATGCTAGCACATGCCTGTAATCCCAGTACTCAAGAGGTTGAGGCAAGAGGATTGCTGCAAATTTAAGGCCAGCCTGGTTACATAGCAAGACCTTGTCTCAAAAACAAAAACAAAACACAAAGCCAGACAGGGTAGTGCACACCTGTAATCCCAGCACTCTGGGAGGCTGAGTCAGGATGATCACTGTGAGTTCAAGCCTGGGTTACAAAGTGAGCTCAAGGCCAGCTTGATTGTACAGTGAGACCTTGTCTCAAAATGACCAAAAAAAAAAAAAAAAAAAAAAGAGAGAGAGAGAGAAACAGAGAGAGAGGAAGGTATATTCACACTGCAGAACCCCGGCAAAGCAACAGTAGAAGACAACAGCGAACATGGGGGACTGAATAAAAACCTGTGTGAGAACGCCAGGATCAACTGCTAATTCCTCGACGCCTACAAATTTGCCAATGCTTTTCGTGGCGTTCCACAGATTCCCACTCAATCTCCTTATGATAAAGTCCAGCAGCCCATAAGGCCCAGGCACACACACAGAGCTTGCAAGGATTTATTCTGAAATGTTTGTTCACCAGATAAAAGCCTTTAACATGAAAGCCAGATCCCAAAGCAAATGGAAAAAGGATTCGGGAAGAACCAGATACGGCATAGAACAGAAGGGCTTCAAACACACAACAGATAACTTCAGATAAGACAAGTGCCCACAGTTATGAAACAGGAAGTTATTAAACATGAAAATATTAAGAAAGAGCTCTTAAGAATCTGACTTCCAAAAAAATAAAAATACAAGTATTAGATAAAATAAAATTTTAAAAATCTACTAAAAAGTAAGGACTGAGGCATGCAGATCTCATTTCAAGGTGAGCCCGGCCTAGAGCTAGACCTTGTCTCAAAAAGCAAAACTGCCAGGCATGATGGTACATGCCTATGATCCTATCCCTCTGGGAGGCTGAGGCAGGAGGATTATAAGTTTGGGACTTAATGAGAGCCTGCTTCAAAAAACAACACAGTAGACTGGGGAAATACCTCAGTGAGGCTCAGTGGCATAAGTGCCTGGCTGGCAAGCACAAGGTCCTGAGTTCAATCCCTGGAACAACAACAACAACAAAAAACCCTCAGTGAGAAGACCCTGGGTTCAGTCTCCAACTTAGGATAGGGGTTAGAAAAAAGCAGTGAAAATTTGGTAGGGAGAGAAATCAAAATTTTAGAGAACCAGTTCAAAGTTGGGGAGGGTTGGGGGAAGGCAATTCTACAGAGCCTATGCTTAGTATGCACAAAGCCCTAGGTTCAGTCCAGGTGCATGACGCATGCCTCTAATCTCAACATTTGGGAGGCCGAAACAGGAGGACTGCCATGAGTTTGAGACCAGCCTGGGCTACACAGTGACTTCAAGGTCACACTGAATCACACAGCAAGACTCTGTTTCAAAACAGAACAAAAAAAGGCCTCGGTTCAAACCCCACCAACATTTAAGAGGGAGTTCAGGAACACACAGCAGGAATCTCAGAAAGGGAGAAGGAAGGAAGTGGGGAGGAGCAGGCTACTAAAAACTGGGGCCCTTCTGCTGCTACACCTGACATAAGCCCTGAAGGTTTCTCAGACCCCCTTTTTCCCTGCCTTCCATCTAAGAACCATGAAGTCCTCCCGCCCGGAATCCCTGCAAACCTGGGGAGACGTTCTGCGGTAGAAGCGCTTGAGCTGTTCATAGGGCAGAGGCAGCTGCTGCCGCTGGTACATGATGTGCTTCAGAAGTTCACACGTAAACCGGCAGCAGCCTTCCTGGCTCACAGGCCCAGGAAACACCACTGGTACCAAGCAGTCTCTCGGGCAAAAAGTCTCAGAAGGGTTGGGAGGTTCCTGGACAGAGTGCGCCTCAAGCAGGTCTATCTGGGGGGCAGAAGCGTCTTCTGATTTGTCGTACCATTCCAAATCTAGTGTGAGAACAAAAAGATAAAATGCTATAAAGGAAAGCTCTACAGGTCAATGGGAGTTTTCCCGTTTCCTGAGGTCATCACGTCAATCACCCCTAAGAAGATGAAACCCTGGCACCCGCACGAAGATCTCGCCACCTGCCCAGGTCATGTAGGTGACTGGACTGGGGCTCCTCACAGACAGTGGCAGGCCCTGACCTGGGGAAATGAGCCCAAAGTGTAGTCACATCGGGCCCAGAACGCCGAAACCAAGACAGCGTAACCCTTGGTGAAGGGAGCGTGGCAGAACTAGGCAGGGTCGGACTCGAGACCGGGAACAATCAAGACGGACCGCAGAAGGGCCAAATAAACGATCGGGGGCAGCGACAGGGAAGAAACAGGTTCCCTAGGTTTCCCACGCTCTGGACCCCATGCCTTACCCGGGACAGAAGCTGGGGGGAGCACTTCCGGCTCCAGCGCCGCCATCACGACCTCTTCCTTCCGCGGGTAGCAGTTAGAATCCGCGCCCAGCGCAGTGTCATAGGAAGACCACGCCCATTTCCTGTGGGCGGACCGGAAGTGTGGGCGTGCCACGGCCGCTGTGCCACGGGATGGGCGGGGTTGAGAGTAGAATTTGCTGCTGCAGGTTTAGTTTCTGGGTGCGCGCGCTCCGGCCCAGGAACCTAGGACTGGGGGAAGTCTTCTCTGTTCAGCTTGCATCCTGCTTTAGCTCTTGGCCGCTCGTCTACTGTGCCCGGTCCTGTCCTTGGTGCTGGAGACAGCGAACAAGCCCTGGCCTCCAGGAATGCACTGTCAGGAAATGATGCACTGGGCGCGGTTACATTGGGGCGTACAGGGCGCCTGCCTGGCCCAGGGCTGGCGGGACTGGAGAAGGGCGGTCCTATAAGAAATATGAAAAGAAGTGTGATCTATAAATTAATAAATTAGCAAGGAAAAGAGGAGCTTCTGGTATCCTTGGAGACCCTGAGACACAAGAGGATCCTCTGTCAAAGACTGAAAAAGTTTCTAATATAAAGTGACGCTGTAGTGGACGAAGGAGCCACATCACGGCAGAACCGCCCCCGCCAGCACACACAGTAAAACGCTAGTACTAGGGATTGAGCCCAGGGCATTTGCACAAATGTACATCCCAGCTCTTTTGTTTTGTTTTGGGGGTTGTTCGGTTGGTTTGTTGAGACGCTGCATAGCTATGTAGCCCAGGCTTGCCTCAAACTCCTGCAATCTTCCTGCCTCAGCTTGGCGAATGCTAGGATTACACTATGCCCAGCTCTCCAGCCCTTTTTTTATATTTTGAGGCACAATGTCGCTAAATTTCCCAGGTTAGGCTCAAATTGAAATCCTCTTGCTTTAGCTTTTCAGGGTCCTTGGATTACAGGTGTGTTATCTCTCCTAGCTGGGAAGCTTTTTTTTTTAAGTAATGGAGTGAGCCAGGCATGGTAGCACACACCTGTAATCCTAGCACTTGAGAGGCTGAGGCAGAACGATTGCCGTGAGTTAAAGGCCAGCCTGGACTACATAGTGAGTTTAAAACCAGCCTGAATTACCGACCAAGACCCTGACTCAAAAAGTAAAATAAATGGCCGGGTGTGGTGGCTCACACCTGTAACACCAGCACTTGGAAGGCTTAGAGAATTGTTGCAAGTTTGAGGCCAGCCTGGGCTATACAGTGAGCTCAAGGCTAGCCTGAACTACATAGCGAGACCCCCATCTCAAAAAGATTTTTAAAAAAGTAAAATAGTTATATGATTAAATTTACATTTTATAAATTTAATCTCTAGGGCCGGGGGTTTAGCCCAGTGGCACAGTGCCTGCTTGGCAAGTGCGAGGTTACAAATTTGATCCCCGGTACCCAAAAATTAAATCAAATACATAAGTAAATAACAAACACTTTCAGAACACAATAAGCCAAAAAAAAATTTTTTTTTAGTTTCTGCACTGGCTGTGTAGAAGTGTAGAAGTTGAATTTTAGGGAGGATAAGGGAAGGATCAGGTGTCCAGCTATAATCCTGACTACTTCAGAGATTGAGGTGGGAAGAAGACAAGTTTAAGGAGAGCCTGGGCAATTCAGCAAAGACACTGCCTGTAAAATATCTGTATAAAAGGGCTTCGGATGTAACTCAGTGGCTAAGCACTTGCCTAGCATGTGCCAGCCCCTGGATTCAATTTGAGAGACAGAGAAGGATATTGCAGGTAGTGTCAGCAATTATCCAGCATGGTGAAAGAGATCTGAAGTAGGGTTGTTACAGTGGCTGGAAAGAATTGGGTGGACTCAACATTTAAAATCCGATTAAGTGTGACTTGGTGGTTGATCTGAGGAGGTGGGGTAGGACGACTGCAAAAACTTGTAGGTTTCTGGCTTCAGCAGTTTACACAGCTAGTTGTGCTATTCAGTGAGTAAAGGGAACACTAGAAGAGTTGGTTTTGTTATTTTTGCAGTACTTCAGATTAAACTTGGGATCTCATAAGAGATCCCTAGCCTTCTTTTAGAGTCCATGACTAAATTGTAGGCTGGGCTTAAATTTATGATCCTCCTGCCTCAACCTCCCAGGGTGCTTACACCTCCCAGGATGATTACTGGCAAACACCATCAACCCAGCTAAGAAGAGTGGGTTTATTTCAGAATGACTAAGGAGAACAGATGAGTTCAGTTTTTCATGGCTTGACATTGATGTCCCCACTAGACAGTGAAAGATAAATTTAGGAACACATTTGGAATAGAGATAGGTATCTGAGGGGCCTCAGGATGGGAGGAGATAAATTCACCCATGGAGGGTACACAGAATGAGAATGGGCTGAGATTCTGAAGACAGCAATGTTTATGAGATGACTAGAGACAGAGAAAAACCTGTGAAAAGGACATGAGAGCAAAGAGGGTACCCTTCAAGAATGAGACCAGAGACCAAAGCACTCAGTACTATAGAAGTACAATGATTGGGGCTGGGGATTTAGCTCAGCGGCATAAACGCCTGCCTTGCTAGCAGGTAGCAGGGAGTCGTGAGTTCGATCCCTGGTACTGATAAAAAGGAAAAAGACCAAAAAAAAAAAAAAAAAAAAAAAAAAGTACAATGATTAAAATGCTGTAGTACTGAGCCGGGGATCTAGCTCAGTGGTAGAGACCTTGTCTAGCATACCCAAGGTCCTGGGTTTGATCCCCAGCATTGCAAAAGGGGAACAGTCTAAGCAAGGAAAAAACAAAACACAGCTGGATGTGGTGGTATAGGCCTGTAATTCCAACTACTTGGGAGGCTGAGGCAGAAGGACTCCAAGTTCGAGCCAAGCCTAAACAATTTAATAAGACTCAGTCAGAAAAATAAAAAGTCAGTCAGATGTGGTGGTGCACATCTGTAATCCCAGCTCGTGGGAAGCTGAAGCAGGAGGATCACCATACATTTGAGCCCAGCCTGGGCTACATAGTGAATTCAAGACTAGACTGAACTATATAGAAAGACACATCTCATAAATAAATAAACATTTAACAACTGGGACTATAACTCAGTGTGAGGCCATTAAGTCAATCTCTAGTACTGAAAAATTGAACAAACACAAAACAAAAAACAATGTGGTATTGGCTTAAAGATAAACAAAACATAGAGTTCAGAAACAGATCTATGTAGGTCTTAGTATATGATAATGGTGACTTTTCAAAGCAAATAACACAAGACAACTCTTTTTTTGTGGAAGCAGGGATTAAACTCATGACTTTGCGCTTGCCAGGCAGGTGCTTATGCTGCTGAGCTAAATCCCCAGCCCTAATATAACTCTCTTTATAGGAGAAAATTTAAATCAGCTCCTGATATGCACCTATGTGTGCATGCACACATGCACACACAAGACAAAAATGATAAATTCCAAATCAATTAAAGATCTAAACATAAAAATAAACCTCACCCCCTAGAAGAGGGGCTGGGGGTACAGCCCCATGGTAGAGTAGATAGTCAGCTTGTACTAAGGTCCTAGGTTTGATTCTCTGGGGAGAAAAGCTCCTAGAAGAAATACTGGGAAGGAATTTATAAGCTAGGAGTAGGTTTGGCTTAAAGGGAAAGCTGCTAAATCTGAGTTTAAAAGGTATACAGACATCCTCTACGCAAAAATAAATGACTAATCACAAGCCAGGAAAAATGTTTGCGTGTGACTCACGTGTGTATCCATGATATATACATAGCCCACAGTCAACAACCTCACAGGTACCTCATAAGCCACCTTTCCTGGAAGCTATCACATTCTACCACCTTCCACTCCTCAGCCTCCTGGTCTCCTCCTCCTACTCTGCCAGCCTTCACTTCTATCTGTGGTAGGTCACACTGTTCAGGCAATGGGCTATCAGAACATCACTTCAGTCATCACTTAAAAGAGGTTCAAGCAGAGTGTGGTGGTGCACACCTGTGATCCCAACACGCAGGAGGATTGCCACAAGTTTGAGGCCAGCCTAGATGATGACATAGTGGGGTCAGGGCCAGCCTGGACTACATAGCAAGACCCTGTCTCAAAAACAAAACCAAAAATGTTCACACAGCAAACAAGGCGACTGGGATGGATGAAGTGCAATTGTGTGTTGGGCTTGGTTGTTGAAAGATCCAAGTAGATGAAAGAACAAGGTATTACTAGTCAAGTGGAAGAGACTGTGGTTATCATGAGGGCCCAGAGGTGGTGATAGTGAAAATACTGGGGTGTGGTCTTATCTCTCCCTTCCCATTCCCATCCTTTCTGAGGCCACTCACTGAGTCTTAGTCTTTTAGCAGTTTTTCAGGTGAACCTATAATGCTGCTTGGGATTGAGCTCTGCAAAATAACCTTTCCCTCAACCACACTGGACATCGAAGAAAGAAAGAATGTGTGCTTTCAACCACTAAAGAAAGACCCACAACACTGGCTTGACCTGGAAGGCCCTTTGCAGACTCTGGTCCTTAGCTTTCTCTTCCCTGCAGGAGTTATGCCATGTCGAAAGCCACAGCACCAACAGTAGATCTACCTGCCTGCACGTGGACCTCGGAAGAGCCCATGGACACCACCAGGTTGGAACCTTTGCAGGCATCACCAGAGGTAAGCCACTGTTGTTTCCAGTTTTCCAAAGAAAACTGAGTCCAAGAAGCAAAAACTGTTTTATTTTTTGGCTGTGTATGAACACCTTGTTTGTGAAGAGAGGGATTCACCGTGATTGGTGGGTCACGAGATAGCCATGGGGCTGGAAATTGAACTCTGGCGTCCTGACTCCCAGCAGTTCTGCTTCTCCACCCTGCCTTTCTGGTGTCTTGTATACTAGTTTGTGTCGCTAGTCGTGTTTACTATCTGGTGAGGGCAAGAGTCATTAAAGAGCAGGAGAGACAGCTTGGCACGAAAGTCAAAAGTCAATCCCCTAGGGCCCCTGGCTAAGTTTCTATTCCCGGGTCACTTCCCCACCCTCCCGGAGGCTGATGTAACCCGAGCCCCAGCCCCGCCCCAAGCGGGGGACTGGTCCCTTCTACTGCCCTGGCCAGTTTGAAACTAAACTCGGTTCTCCCCGATTGGTCCGGATTCAAAACAAAGGGGAGGGGGAAATACTTGCTGCAGGCATCCTTGCAACACTCTGGCTGCCCAATGTTTATGGGTTCCAGCCTCGTGTCAGGGCCCCTGTGGTGCCTGGGGCAACTAAAACCAGCCCCTGACGGTGCCACCATGGTAATAATGCCGTGACTACCGTATAAAGGTGGCATAATCATCACCACAGAAACAGCCGTAATTAGGCTAATCATCATCTGCCTTCGCCCTGCTCTCACCCTGACTCACCCCAACAGCATGCCGGCCATCGGGGAGAAACTGAGGCAAAGGTGGAGCTGGGCCGCAGGTGGGACCAGCTGCCCTGAATTCTGCAGCTCCCGAGGTCCCAAACCTGTTGTCCGGGATCCGCAGCTAAGGGACAGACCCAGTGGCGCCGGCAAAGGTCGATTCTGATGTAAACCCTCGGCGCCCGCGACCCTCCTCAGCCGTAGGCCCCTCGACCCCCACCCCAAGCCCCAGAGAAAGAAAGGCTCGGCACACAGTGACCAGAAGCCAGACTACAGATCCCCTTTGGCCCCTGGCGAGCCCACCTCTGCCCCGCCTCGCAGCACCTGCGGTCCGCGCCGCGATGCCTCCTGGGAAATGTAGGTCAGAGGCGCCCTCGTCAGAACAAGGCCCAAGGCCTGTGGACTCCATATCCCGTGGTGCCCTGCTGCCGTCGGGGCGGAAGGGGGCGTGGTCTCATAGGCACAACCCCGCTCCTCCCGGCCCGGGCGACGCGGCGGAGGCTGTGGGGGCGGCGGGAGGCGGGCGGCCGCGGCGGAAGGGGGGAGGGGTCGGGCGGGGGGTCGGCGGCCGCGGCGGATGGACTCGCGGGTGTCAGAGCTGTTCGGCGGCTGCTGCCGGCCCGGAGGGGGCCCGGCCGTGGGCGGAACCCTCAAGGCGCGGGGGGCCGGCGGCAGTAGCGGCTGCGGGGGCCCGAAGGGGAAGAAGAAGAACGGAAGGAATCGAGGCGGCAAAGCCAACAACCCTCCATACCTGCCCCCAGAGGTGAGCCCTTGAAAAGCGGCGGAACGAGAAGGATCTGCACCTTCCGGACCCCAGACCCTGGGGAACCGGGACGGAGAGCGCGGATCTCCATTTGGGGATCGAGAGCTCGGGAAGAGGGGTCGGTGAGGACCCTGCTTCCGGCCCTGCACACCAGGGAGCAGGGGCTGGGTACCAGGATCAAGGGAAGGGAGCGCGATCCTCTTCTTACCGCGATCACCCAGATGTTCCACCCCCTCGGGAAAAGCGGGAGGAATGGAGGACCCCCTAATTGTGCCGCGCTTGGGGAGGCCGACAGGGCAACAGCGACTTTCTTCAAACTTGTTCCTAGAGAGGGAGGAGTACCCCGGAGAGAGCAACATGTTTTCCCCCTATCCCTCATACACGGTCCATATAAAACCAGAGAACAGGCTGTTCTGCCCTTTGCCTGTCCGGGAAGGGAGGGGATCGAGAACAGCCTGCTGCTCTGTCTGTCCTTAAAGCGAAGAGCAACTGCTACTTTGTTCTTCCCTCTGGAGATAGGACCTAGGGGAAGCGCCAAAAAACCAGTGGTTATCAAACTTTAGTGTGTACCCGTGCCTCGGACTGCAGGCCCACACCTAGGATTTTTATTAAGAAAGGGATGGCTTGAGAATCTGCATTTCTTACAAATCTGCATGTCGTATTAAATCTGCTGTCCTGGGGCCACGCTCAGAGAACTATTGGCTTAGTCTGTCATTCTTGGACACATTTCTGAGGCCAAGCTTCCTGATCCTCCACCGCACCCCCCCCCCCACTCCTCGTAGAACGATGAAGAGATTTCATTCAGAAAGGTTTTTGTTGGAGAAAGCTCTCTAGTATAGCCCATATGGTAGAGATGAAGGGTGCAGACCACCTATTAGGACCAAAAGGAACAGAATGAATGCTGGAGGGGGAGAGAAAACAAAAAACAGCCGGACAAGAGGGGTTTAGAAATGTAGATGGCACAACAGATGAACCCCATAACCTTTTGCACCCTTGAGGGGAAAGCTCTGGCCATGGTTGCCCTCCCGGAGGAGGGAGAGAGGATTGTGGGGTAGGTTCAGGCTTTCACCTCAGCTGAGGTGTGAGGACTAGGGGACAGGGAGTGGCTTGTGAGATCTGTGCCCTTCATTCCATTTTCTACGTTTCTTTTGTTCACCTCAGCCTCAACTTTGTTTCATATTTTGGTTTTTGGTGTTTTTGAGGGACTGGGTCTCACTATGTAACCCAGACTGGCCTTGAACTCATAGCAATCCTGTCTTGCCTCAGCCTTCTGAGTGGTAGGATCATAGATATGCACCACTTATCAGCCCCAACTTTGGAGTTCTGCTCTATGCTTACCTTGAGCCTGAAATGACCAGTACTGAGCTCACCCCTGGCCCTGGTCCAGAACCTCTTACACTTCGTGACATCAGCTTCAGGGAGTGGGCAGGAAAAGAATTAGTGTTTCCCAGGTCAGTGGCAAAAAAAACCAAAACCAAAAACAAAAAAACACCTCAACAGCCTGGCACTGAGGAGACAGATATCCAGGAAGAGCAGCTTGAGGTCTTGGGGAGAAGGAAGGGGAGGTCTTACGGCCAGAGATTGAGGAAAGGGCAGGTTGGAGGTTCCCTTCCTGGCTGAAGTGGGGAACTCACTATATATTGTTATATGCCTCCTTCGGATGGGGCACCTCAAGGCTGAGTAAGGGCTTATCTGCCCTGACCTTCCGGGCACTGATGCCAGTGCCTCAGGCCTTACTGTCTCTGCCTGGATCCGGTGGGACCTGCAGGGAGAAGTGGGCATTGGTTTGATGCTGATGATAACTGTGCCCTGTTTCTTTTCAGGCGGAAGATGGAAACATCGAATATAAAGTGAGTCTTAGACTGGGGAGGAACAGGGACTCACTGTTCGGGGGACAGGGAAAGCCCTGGTCCTTGAGGCCTCTGACTTTCCCTTCTGTGTTTCCTGCCTGCCCTAAGCTGAAGCTGGTGAACCCGTCCCAGTACCGCTTTGAGCACCTGGTGACACAGATGAAGTGGCGGCTCCAGGAGGGACGCGGGGAGGCTGTCTACCAGATCGGGGTGGAGGACAATGGGCTGCTGGTAGGGCTGGCAGAGGAGGAGATGCGGGCCTCCCTCAAGACCCTGCATCGGATGGCAGAGAAGTATGCTCCTCCTTTCCTACCCGACTCAGGACCCCTGTGCTCCCATCACCCAGGGGCCATGGGCTGAACGGGGATTTCCTGTTGCTCTACCCCTTGACACAGGACCTAAGTGACAGCTCCATGTTCCTCCCTGGGCCTGGGCGGCTTTGTCCCTTGATTAAAGACACATTTGCTTCCTCGTTAGTGTATCTCACAGGAGCTGTGGGCGTGGGGTGGATTGGCGGGACCTTGGAGGGTGGGAGTTACAGGAAGAGCCAGGGCCAGGCTGGAATGGGGAGAGTCTGTGAAATATGACAGCCATGGCCTTGCTGTGACAGGGTTGGTGCGGACATCACTGTCCTTCGGGAGCGTGAAGTAGACTACGATAGTGACACACCCCGGAAGATCACTGAGGTGCTGGTACGGAAGGTCCCCGACAACCAGCAGGTGAACATGTGCCCTCCCTGTCCCCTAAGATTGCCCCTGGCAGCAGGTTCTTTCCTTGCTGGGGTCCTGGGGCATCTACATCGTCTCTCGCTCCCACCCTTCTCTGAGAATTGAGCCCAGAAATCTTACCACTGCCATCTGTCCACAGTTCCTAGACCTCCGAGTGGCTGTCCTGGGGAACGTGGACTCAGGGAAGTCGACCCTGCTGGGAGTCCTGACCCAGGGCGAGCTGGACAATGGGCGGGGCAGGGCCCGGCTCAACCTTTTCCGCCACCTGCATGAGATTCAGTCAGGCCGAACCTCCAGCATCAGCTTCGAGATCCTGGGTTTTAACAGCAAAGGAGAGGTGCATGGGACCAGCGGGACCCAGTGGGGCAGGCTCTAGAAGAGGCCGGGGCGGAGTATAGACAAAGCCCCGGGCACGAGAGCAAGCTCTCTCCCTTAGAGCACAAATGGAGAGTCAGCAGAACTCAACAGGAAATGGGGCTCAGGGCTGAGAGGCAGGGCGCCAGGATCTGGTTTAGGGCCTGGCACACAAAAGGTTGGGGGCTCGCAGGGCACTGAGACCCTGGACCCCGGGCCAGGTGGTGAATTACAGTGACTCACGGACGGCAGAGGAGATCTGTGAGAGCAGCTCCAAGATGATCACCTTTATTGACCTGGCTGGCCACCACAAGTACCTGCACACCACCATCTTCGGCCTCACCTCCTACTGCCCTGACTGTGCCCTGCTCCTTGTCAGCGCCAACACTGGGATTGGTATGAAGTGTCAGTGGGGACAGGGCTGAGGGGAGGTACCGACTGTCCCTGTCCTGGGAGCCACACTGACGTGCCTCTCCTCCATCACTTCACTCACTGCGTACCCTCCTTTGAGCAGCTGGCACCACGAGAGAGCATCTGGGCCTGGCACTGGCCCTGAAGGTGCCCTTCTTCATCGTGGTCAGCAAGGTGGACTTGTGCGCCAAGACCACGGTGGAGAGAACAGTACGCCAGCTGGAGCGAGTCCTTAAGCAGCCTGGCTGCCACAAAGTACCCATGTTGGTCACTTCTGAGGATGATGCCGTCACTGCCGCCCAGCAGTTCGCTCAGTCACCCAAGTAAGTGTGTCTTATCTGGAAGCCATAATCCTTAGGGGAGGCTACCCAGGGCCTAAGAGCATGGGGACCCCTCCAGGGTGAGTCCAGCTATGGCCCGGTTCTGTGTCCTTTCCAGCTGTGTCCCAACTCCTGTTGGGACAACAGGAGTTCTTATGAAGGGTTTGGCCCCATCCCAGCCTACCTGGAACTTTCCAGATGTTGGGGACCCTGGAGATATTTGCTGTTTCTCCTGGTCCTAGTATCTGTTTCCTGCTAGCCTTCTCTCACTGGCCCCCTCTGTCCCTTCTTGTGCAGTGTCACCCCCATCTTCACACTGTCCAGTGTGTCTGGAGAAAGTCTGGACCTCCTCAAAGTCTTCTTGAACATCCTGCCCCCACTTACCAATAGCAAAGAGCAAGAAGAGCTCATGCAGCAGTTGACAGAATTCCAGGTAAAAGGCTAGAGGTGGGGACAACTGCTGGCCCTGCCAGCCCTACAGAGCAGGACAGTGACATTTTTCTTGGCTTCAGGTGGATGAAATCTACACAGTACCAGAGGTCGGGACAGTTGTTGGAGGGACACTTTCCAGGTGAAGTGGCTTGTTTTGCTACCCGATCAGCCTTCCCATAGCCCTGTACGCAGACATCATGGCCTGGAGGAGGAGCCCCTGGAACTAAACAGCCCATCTCATGAATTCTTGCTTGCAAATTAGGCTTTTACTACCAGAAAGAGCTGGAAGCTAGTCCCTTACTGCTGCCTTCCGGGACTCTGCAGGCCCCTGAGGGAGATGTGTGGGTCATGGGCTGCAGGAAAAAGCCTAGAGGGCATTCAGTTGACCTAGTTTCACGTGCACCACTGAGAAAAGGACTCTGCCAAACTCAGGGTAAAACCCAGGGGGACCACTTGCTCCCCCAGGGGCCAGGTGTTGGGTGTTACCAGGCCCGGGATGCCACACTGGTGCCATCACTACAGCCTCTTTCATGATCACTCTTCAACGTGAATGCCTGGCCAGGCCCTACATCCAAGTCTGAATTAGGGCTCCTGTTCCCTACTTGAGGAATTCAGCCCTGAAAGGGAAAGCATGCTTGGGTGACCCTAGCAAAGCAGGCAGGGGACCCAGGCTGACCCTGTGCCCTGACCTCTGGGCTGCAGCGGGATCTGCCGCGAGGGTGACCAGCTGGTGGTGGGCCCCACGGATGACGGCTGCTTCCTAGAGCTGAGGGTATGCAGCATCCAACGCAACCGCTCCGCCTGCCGAGTGCTGCGGGCCGGGCAGGCCGCAACACTGGCCCTCGGGGACTTTGACCGTGCCCTCCTTCGCAAGGTGAGGGGCCAGAGGGCAGGGAAGTGCTGGGACAAGGGCCACCAGTCTGAAGTGCTTAGAGCTACTCAAAACCCTGACCCCAGAAGCTTTAGGTCTGGTTACACAGACCCATGTGTGCAAGAAACACTTAGAACCCTCATGAAGCCCAGGTGGCTGTGTGCATCATTGCAGTGCAAGCCAAATGCCTAGGACCCTAAAACCGCAAAGCTTTGGTGGGCAAGGACATGGGAGGTGGGAGAGGGTGTCTTCCTAGAGGAGTCTGGACTGTTGTCCTCCAAGGTCTCTGGGTTGGGAGTCATGAAGGAGAAGAGTTTAAGAGTTGCATGGTATGGGAGGGCAGGGAGAGAAGGTCTGACACCAGGTCTGCCCTTCCTGGGCCTGGGTGCTGTGCCTTCCTAGGGCATGGTGATGGTGAGCCCCGAGATGAACCCCACCATCTGCTCAGTGTTCGAGGCAGAGATAGTCCTGCTGTTCCATGCCACCACCTTCCGACGAGGATTCCAGGTGACAGTACACGTGGGCAACGTACGTCAGACAGCTGTGGTGGAAAAGATTCATGCCAAGGTGAGGAGTACCTACCCATTCCTCATTTCTCCAGGGAAAGTCAGGTACTCATGTAAAGTGGAGGCCCTGACTTAAGAGTTGGCACGGAGCTCCATTTCCATGGAGGAAACAAACCGTGCTTCAGAGGGGGCAGCAGTCCACACAGAGGTCCTGAGGGTGGAGAGCCAGGGATGGCTTGGGAAGGACTATAAGGCAGTGTGACTTCTCCGCTGCAGGACAAGCTGCGGACTGGTGAGAAGGCAGTGGTTCGTTTCCGATTCCTGAAACACCCTGAGTACCTGAAGGTGGGCGCCAAGCTGCTGTTCCGGGAGGGTGTCACCAAAGGCATTGGCCATGTCACTGATGTGCAAGCCATTTCAGCAGGAGAAGCCCAGGCCAACATGGGCTTCTGAATCTTCCAGGCAGGGCAGCTGTTATGCTCCCTATAATATATAAGGTGACTTCTGGCTATGCTGCCCCCTGATGGCGGCTGTGTGTGTTAATAGGCTAGGGAGAGAGGTGCTCTCTGCCACCTGCTTCCTGCCACCTTTCTGGTCAAGCGTGCTGTGGCAGGGAGAGGCAGTCCTGCGGAAGAAGACAATAGGGTAGTGGCCTGCTGCTGTCTGCCCACGTGGTTGGCTCAGCCCTGGCAATCCTGTGGCCAGCCTACCGGAAGGAGCTCACTACAGCCACCTTGTCCCACTGTCAGGACTGGGTGTGACTCACCAATGTGATCCCTGCACTTCAGGAATTGTCACAGCCGGGGTAGCCCTTCAAAGCGCTCCTTTTTCTATACCTCTTCTTAAGGCCATGTAAGTTGCCCATTACTCCTGGCTGTGGACAGAAAACACTGCTCCATTGGAAGTGGCACAGTGAATGGCCAGTGCTCATCCCTGTGCTGTGCTGACACCAGGGCCTGTTCCTCAGCTTTATCTCGTGTCCTTTCATCACTCAAGGGCCGTGTCCCCAGCTCCTCCTGTCACAGGCCCCACAGGTGCTACTTGTCTTGCTGGCCCAGGTGTGGGGCTGCCAGGCTGAGGCCTGGCATACCGAAGGCCAGCTGCATGTCACTCAGTCTCGTCCTTCCCTCTGCAATTGTCTATCAGCCCTCATCAAATAGTGTTTGACCTGCCCAGGCTGGTGGCTGGGGGATCTGACCCACAGTTCCACATCCATCCTCGTCCCACTTCCTCTCCAATATGAACCTCATTTTAGTAATTTGTAGTGCCTGTCCCCTTCCCTCTGTTGCAGGGAACCAGGAGGAAAGGGAAAGATGTTATCCTATTTCCTGGTCTTTAGGTACAGATTCCTCTTTTCCCTTCATTAGCATCCTGGGTTCCCATGGACTCAGGGATTTGTTGAATGAGGTTTCTCTGCAAATATATATATATGTATATATATATATTTAAATACACATATATATTGTACAGAATAAAAATGTTTTATTGAATACACTGTGCTTATGCGTAAGAGCCAGGCTCACTTCCAGAGCTGGAGTCCTCCCAGGGATTAGAGACGGGTGAGACCCACTGTTGGTGAGCCCTGAATACAGGAAGAACTTGCCCATTACCCTGTTTATCATTCTTTGTCCCCACCGCAGGACCAGTATCCAGTCTCTTAACCATGTACTCCTGCTTGTTGTGCATAGTTCTGCTCGTGAAACAGGCCTCACCTCAAATAAGCAGACACCTTGATTTTGAGTTGGCCACTTGTCACGTAAAAGACATTGTGTTCTGACAGTGGCAAAAAAACCAGCACAATAAACATGGCCTATAGTCCTGTGCGGCACCCTGCTTCTAGTGCAGCCTCCCCACCACTGTGGCTTTTAGAACTACCCATGCTGTAGCTTGCTACTAAGCCTGTGGCTGAAGAACTCTATCCTGGATGAGAAAAGCACTTCCTTCCTTCTCTGTAGTTGCTGGTAAATGGCAGTGAGGAAGTAAAGTGCCATGGCTGTCACTCAGCACTGATCTCAGCACACCGTCCCTGGACAGACTGCTAGTGTGCTGGGCAGGGCTGGCTTCCCAGGAAAACAAGGTGTGCTGCTCACACCCACATTCTCTGGGCCTCTCCAAGTCCAGTGAACTTGACATCTGACCACATCACTTTTGAATACAACTCCCTCATGTGTCGATCAGTCCCACCGTCAGGAAGTATTCAACTTGATCTGCACACAGCTGAGAATGCTTCACCCACAGTTTTGTTTACATCTCTTTTTCCCTCAATTATGAAAGCTAGTGTGGGAAAAATCCCATCTCAGTACCAAATGAGACACCCTCAGGAATTACTGAGCCACTTTGCTACATTAGTGGAGTAATTAGAGGAAGGAGTGTGTTTAAGGCAGGACTACAAGGATCATCATTGCTCCACTGTACAGTCAACCAAGGAATCCCAATAATCTCTTATGTTCAGGACACCATGAACCATTTCTCCCTTTAAGCTACAAATCTAGGGGCCAGAGATTTAGCTCAGCGGCATAAGTACCTGCCTTGCAAGCAGGCAGTTGTGAGTTCGATCCCCGGTAAAAATGAAAAAAAAAAAAAAAGAAGCTACAAATCTAACAGGGAAATGCCCATGTACATAATGATTACCATCTTTATTTATTTTGGTACTGGGAATCGAACTCAGGACTTCACACTTAATAAGACCTGCCTGTTGAGGTTTTTTTTTTTTTTTGTACCAGGGATTGAACTCACGACCTAGTGCTTGGCAGGCAGGTACTTATGCCGCTGAGCTAAATTCCCAGACCCTACCATCTTTAAGTGCCATAAAAGTGGGAAATGTTTTCAAAGGATAAAATAATTTCCAGGTAGGTCCAGTGGCTTTTGACCCTTTTCTTTCCTCAAATTAAATACAGTCCTCTAATTTAAAAATTTGCTAAGAAACTGCTTTGAGTATGCGTACAGGAAGACAGGATACATATATACCACCCGCACCTCAATTAGCTCTTCATTTAGTTCCAAGTATAATTCAAGGATCCTCTTATCAGAGATGCTCAAAGAGTTGACTTCTTACATGTAAGAGTGGAGATGCTGAATGTACAGTTACTAGATCTGGGCACAGTGCCACTCAAGTATAATCCCAGCATTCTGGAAGGCTGAGACAGGAAAATTTCAAGGTCCAGCCTATCCTAGACAACTTAGACCCTGTCTCAAAAAATTAAAGGGCTAGGGATGAAGTTCAGTGTGAAGTCCCTGGGTTTAATCCCTGGTACCCCAAAATCAAAACTGAACAACCCAAAGCAGTACCAGTACTGGGACTATAAAGTAGTAGTGTACTAGCTTAATATGAACAAAGCCCTGGGTGTAACCCAGGCACCACAAAAACCAAAACAGTACTACAGATGTGGTCAGGTCCATGTTCATACTTTAGTATGAAAGAGAAGACACCAGGGACCCCAAAGTCCCAAGCACTCAGATTTGTGCTTTGGGTTTCAGGAAGGATCACATCCTCCACAGACCTGGCTTGTGGCTGCTTTGAGATGGTGGGCTCCTAAAAGTCAAAGACATATGGGAGCCTTGTAAAGGCAGATTGTGGGTCTTCCCAGCAAGTCCCCTGGGAAGGCTGGTGCTGCTCTGGTTCTGAGCATGAAGTGGTCTTATTCTACATCAGAACATGCGAGGGCACAAAAAACAGAATTCTGGCCAAGGTGTCATCTGAACTGCCCATCAGCAGAGCTTGGAAGAAATTTTAATGATCTTTTAGTCATTTCTTTCTCTTGAAATCTTTAAGTAAAGCATTTTAAATACATTTACATACATTTAAATCTTCAATGATCCATAACGTGAAGATCTCAGTCTACAGAGGAGGAAATGAAAGTGACCATGTCCTTCTGGGGAGACGTAGAACCAGGTTTCATGGGCTCCAGGCCTACATAACTTTTATCTGACACTGCCTTCCTAAACTCTAAAGGTTAAAAACTCAAATGAGTTTCCAGCAATTCCTGGATTTTTTTTTTATTACAAATTTCATCAATATGCATATCCTTGAATAATGAATGTATTTTCATCTCCCAGGGCCCAGACAAAAACTAAAACCCTACAGCAAGCCTGAAGGCAGCATTAGTGTGTTAAGGGTTTAAAAAATGATTCCAGTGTCTGCATGCCCTCAGGCCGGGTGCGTTTACTACTAGAGGCCAAGGGGCTCTTGGGATTTCTTTTCCCTTGAGAAGTCACAGCTGGAACAGCCCTGGAGGTTGAAGACGGTGGCTGCAGAAAAGATTTCTGCAACTCCATCGCAAAATGATAGTCCATGTGTTCTGGCATCTCCCACACTGGAACCAGGGTGCTGCACTTATCACACAGTAGCTGGTCCTCAGCAGTTAGGAGACTAGAGGTAGCTGCTGCCTCTGGGGCCACCTTCAGAGACTCGAGAGCTGAAAAGGCAGGCACAGCTGGGCTTTTCTGTGTCAGATCCTCCTCTGCAGAAACTGCCTTAGTGGTGTCTGGCTTCAATGCTCTGTCACAAACAGGGGCATTCTCTGAAAGTTCTGGTGGAAAAGAGTTGGCTAACCCTTCAGAGTTGGCCTGTGAGTTTTGTGGAGGCAAAGACACTGAAGAATTACTGAGCTGATGCTGCCTTAGAAGCAGACTTTTCTGCTTAAAGAAGGGCTCTATGCCCAATGTCTGACTGGTCTGGAAAAGTAATGGGGGCTTGAATAGTGACTTGCCCATGGGGGTCTGGGTAACAGCTGTAAGAGACGAACATGAAGGTTCTTTGGCTTTCTGTTTCTCTGCAGCTTTTTGGAAGAATGATTCCAGAGAGCTGGTTGTTTTCTTGATGGGTGTCACCGCTAAGTCACTTCCCTGAGTCTTAGCTTCTGAGCTGGTGACTGGCATCTTTAGCAAAGAACCTGAGTCACTGCTCAGGAAGGCAGTGATATCTGTGCAAGATGCAGGTGCAGAGACAGAGAACTTTGTAGCACAGAGGAAGAGCATTGTGAGGGGAGGGGACCTATATAAAAGAGAAGAAACACTAGATTAGCAACAGATCACTGTTTTAGAGTCTCAATTCAGTTCATAAATTGGGTGGGTCAGGCTTCCGGAGCACTGAGAATTCAGGTATGCACCACCCTATAACAGTGAATTTTTCTAAGACCAAAGGCCCCAATTTTAGAGACCATACAAATTACATGTCTCCGCTGCCAGGTGATGAATTTTTATTTATTTATTTTTATTGAGACTGGGTCTTACTATGTTAGTTCATGCTGGCCTTGAATCCACTATGTAGCCCAAATTGGCTTGAACTTGCCTCCTGGTTCAGCCTTTTGAATGCTGAGATTATAGCATGGTGCTACCATGCCCAGCAATACTTCTTTTAAAATGTAATAGGCTATATTAAATAAGTAAAGAACTCCAGTCCTGAAAATCATCATTTAGACAGAAAATGAACATGCCCCCAAATCAGGATTTACCATATTTTTGGTTGTATTTCACGACTAACGAGTGAAGTTTATGAATATATTTGGTATAATAGCAGTGGAGCTTGTAACTGAGCTGGGATGGTAGAGATTATCAGTGAATAATGGTTACTTTTCTAAGTATGGAAGATGCTACTATGACTTGTGTCTAGATGTCCCTTCAGAGCTACTATTGGGTCATAAGTGGGGCTTTTCAGAAGTGGCTGGATCTTGAATGTGTGACCCTTGGATTAAGTGTGTGATGCGGGGATCAAGGCTGTGGGATTACTACATTAGTCCACTGACTGGTTTGGCATAGTCCTGGATGTGATAATGTTAAGACCCACCCTGGGCATGTAGCCTGCATAAAATATAAAGGAGAGAAGGGTTGCTGCTTGTCACCTGATGCTTTTCTACTTTGCTGGGGCTGCCTTGCTGCCTTCTACCTGCCATGAACTGTATTCTCCTGCCTTATAGAGCCAGCCAACTTTGGACTGAAAACTATAACTGTGAGCCAAAATAAACCCTTTTTTCTTTAACTTTATGTGTCAGGTATTTTGTCTCAGCAACAAAAAAAGCAATTAAGACAGATACATTTAAGATGGAAAAATCAAGTAGTTGAGAGCCAAGTTTTTAAGTATATTCTAGAAACTTGAGCTGTACTCTCCCAAGGACAACCGATGAAGGCTAAAAAAGTACTGGTTCGTCTTGCTTGCAAGCGTGCCCCAGGGATCTGGAAGGCACCATACAGAGGCCAGGAAGCTGCAGCTGAGAGCTGTGTTTCTGAGGTTACCACTGTTTTCTCCCTTAGTGAGTGACCATTTCCTTTTCTCATAGGTGCTGCTAGTCCAAGTCACAAATCGCCTATCCTGGCTGAAAAAGCCCAGAAGCCCACTAGCTTTAGCACTCAGACAAGGCATGACTCTCCTCTGAGAAGATCAGCTAGAAGCCTCACCATTCAGTCTGGATTCCAGAAGTGTTACAGTTCCTGATGACAGCAAAGGCATCTTGGCTCATCTTGTGAGCGTCATAGCGGGTGAGGGCACAACAGCGGCGCAGGCTGCTCAGACGTTTGTCTCCTTGCACACGGATGCTCACAGCCAGCTGGGTGGCTACCCTGTCATTCTGTGGGTAGCAAAGGGTTAAGACCCAGAGAAAGTTACCTGGAGCATCTGAGTTTTATACAATCAAGTGTCAGAGAGAGAATTAGAATCAGGTGACAGAATGGTTTGGAAACAGTCTTGTTTTCCAATAAAATCCATTTTATTTCAAGTAGAAAAGGAAAAAGAAGAAAATAAAAGCTAAAACAAAATTTCAAAACACAGGGGACAACAATGATACATACATTGCACATTGTCATCCCCAAAGCATTAAGCCAGAGCACAAGACAGCTGCATTTAGTTGTCCAAACAATACTGGCACAAATCTTTCTCTTCAGTGAACTCAGAGAAATCAGTAGTATAACTATCGTAACTATTTTTTATATACATATATCATATACATGTTTTTTTGGTTTTGGCACCAGTGATTGAACTCATGACTTCACGCTTGCCAGATAGGCACCTGTGCCAGAGCTAAATCCCCAACCACATGTGTTGTTTCTTTCAGCTTCTCACACTAATGAGACAATACGATGTGGAAACAGTAAGTTTAAAATTCAAGAATTCAGAGGTAATAAGCAAAGAATGAGAGTTTATCCCAGTTCCTGTGTAAACAAGTGTACACTGAGTGCTGAGGATGCATAGGATACTGGGTTCGGTACTGGGAGGGATACACAGACAATTCCTGTTTTCCTGTCTCTTACACATTAATAATATCTATTTTATACTATACTAGAATCACATTTTCTGATTAAAAAATAGCTCAAATTTTTTTGCTATTTTTTTTTGTTTTGTTTTGTTTTTTTTTTTTTTTTTTGGTCTTTTTCCTTTTTATCGGTACCGGGGATCGAACTCACGACAGCCTGCTTGCAAGGCAGGCGCTTATGCCGCTGAGCTAAATCCCCAGCCCCTTTTTTGCTATTTTTGGAAGAACTGAACAAGACATAATTTAGATGATGGAACAGTAAAGTATCTATCTAGGCCATGTTGACAGACGATGGGAATAGAACAGAATAAATGAAAATGAGACTCTCCTGAAAGTCTTCTTATGGTGTCTAAGTGAGATTATAAACTGAGCGTGGTAACGCACGCCTGTAATCCCAGCGTTTTGGAGGCTGAGGTAGGAAGACTATGAGTTTGAGATCAGCCTGAACCACATAATGAGACCTTGTCTCAAAAACAAAACCAAAAAAACCTACCATACCATATTCTACTTTCATTCTATTTTCTGCTCTGCGACCCTAATCCAAACATCAAAAATCAGTAAACACCACATCTCCTCAGCTGTCCACAGAGACATCAGTGACATCTCTGTCCCTGAGTTCTGCTGTAGCAAACTGAGGAGGAAGGTCAAGAGGTAGAAACATACAGATGTGAAAGGTATCGAGGATCCCCTCAAAATCCAAGAGACAAGGAGATAAATGCCTAAGGTGAACAATTTAATGAGCACAACTGCTTTGGGGATGAGAATCCATTTGTGGAGATTTATATTGTCTTGACAATATAAACCAGCAATCACAAAGGAGTCACTGTTCACAAAGCCATCTTTTTTTCTTTTTTTTGAATAGGGTCTCACTTTATAGTTCAGGCTAATCTTGAATTCACTATGTAGCCCAGGCTGCCCTCAAACTTATGGCAGTCTTCCTGCCTTAGCCTCCTGAATGCTGAGATTAAAGGCATGTGCCACCAGGTCCAGCTCAAAGCCATCTTCCTGGCAGGGTGCCTACCATACCTCTCTAGAGTAGAGACAAAGCTGAGAGAGGCAGGAGAGAATGGGATAAAGTCAGGACCTGGTGGCTCTCACATGGTAACAGGAACTGTAGACAATAAACTCAAGGCAGGCAAGTGTAGTGGCAACAAGCAGGACCACGCAGAGCTGGAGGAGGGTGCTGCTGTGAGGATCAGGGGAGGCCTCTGGAAGCAGCATATGAGCAGGGAGCAAATGTGGGCAGAGGGGCAAAGACTCCTGGGGCATGGGCACAGACGTGCAGAGGTGCTCAGCCATCTGCTTTCCTGGGAAGCGGCCATGGGCTGAGACCAGAGGGGTAGGGTGGGGCAGGGAGCCAGGGTGAGATCAGATTCACAGCATTAGAAAGGGAAATCCTCAGCATGTGATGGCACAGGATCTGCTTAGCTCTAGAGTTTTTAAAGACACCCATCTCCAGGGATTCCTACTCTACTTCACTGGCTACAAAGTGGGGTGAAAGCTGTGGGGACTGAACTTTACACCACCTCCCAAGGACAGACAGTCACCACCAAATCCAGGCACAAGGAACAAGACATGGGGACGTGCTTTACTGCACACACCACTTAGAGAACTCTGAGATGTTACAAAGGCACATATACATCTGAGGAAAGCAAAAGCAAACCCATGGGAAAGGAACAAATATGCACAAACCACATACCTGACATGGGACTTGTATCCAAAATATGGAAGGAACTCAAAAATCAGTAACACACAATTCCTAAAGGGGCAACGGATCTCAACGCACCTTTCTCCAAAGAAGACATACAAATGGCCAGCACAATACATGCAAAGATGACTGGCTATCAGAAATGCAAACCATAACCACAGTGAGCTCCCATGCCATGCCAACCAGCAGAGTGGGATGTGGGAAATCACAACCCTCTTATATTGCTGGGAGGGGTAAAAATGATGCAGCCACCTGGGAAAGCCTGTAAGTTCCTCAAAATGCTACCAGAGCAGGGTGTGGTAGCACACACCTGCAGTGCCAGCTACTGTGGAGCGGAGGCAGGAGGTGAACAGCCTGGGCAACATGGAGACCTCACCTTAGAATAAAAGCAAACAAAACCTTGTGCACCAGTGTTCACAGCAGCATGTTCCTAAGCCAATAGGTAAAAACACTCAAATGTGCACTCACTGCTGAACCCTAAACATGTGGCCTGCTTACTCACTAACTGTTGCTCAGCCATAGAGTGGAAGTAAGCACTGACACATGGCACACTTCCAGAGCTCTGAGAAATTTAAGTTAGGTGAAAGACTTCAAGCTGGTCAGTCATCAAAGTCACATATGCAGGAGTCCACTATAGGAAATCTGCAGAGAAACGGAGAGCCACACTCATGGGAGCCTAGGCCGAGGGCAGGCAGGGAATGGGAGGGTGCTGACATGTGCAGGGTTCCTGTGGTGGCTGCTGAACATACCCTAACACTGATGGCAGAACACTTGTACAGTTCTGGAATATCCTGACACCACTGACATGCCACTTACACTTCAAATGGCTATATCATATGGTCTACGAAAAATCAGCTATTGGCTGTCTAGTGTTTGACACAATATTCCGACTTAAACTGCTATTACTGGCCAGGGAGTTAGCTCAGCAGCACAAGCGTCTGCCTGCCAAGTTTGAAGTCATGAGATCGATCCTTGGCACAATACATACATACATACATACATACATAAATACCACTACTCATCCCTTGGATGATGTTTAAGGTCAATGACTTACAGTCCCATCTCTCAGTGCCCTCCTCAGTATCTATGACTGACTGAAAGGCCACTATTTATTCTGGGTTGCTGAAAAATTAACATAAGAAAATCTGAAAAATTAGAGACAATGGTAAAGAGGGAGATGAACACTGAGGGGTTTTTTGTGGGGGAGGGAGCAAGGAATCAAACTCAGGACCTCACACTTGCCAGGTAGGTATTGCTAAATCCCTAGCCCCTAAACTAAGTTTTATCACTATGTTGGAAAATTTCTTAAAATGTCCTAAGCGGATGCCTCTTTTCTTTTGTTCTTTTCTTTCTTTCTTTTTTCCTTTCCTTTCTTCTTTTTTTTTTTCTTTGAGACAAGATCTTACTATATAGCACAGGCTGGCCATAAATTTGCTTATGTAGCCCATGCTGGCCTTAAACTCGTAGTAACCCTCTTACCTCGAGCTCCTGAGTGTTGGTATTACATGTGTGTATCACCACAACTGGCTTTTTTTCTACATTTGTTCTTACTCCACAAAGTTAAGAAGCAGTTTAAATTCTAAAACCAGCTGAATGGGTGGCATGTGCCTGTGATCCCAGCACTCAGAAGGCTGAGACAGGAGAATCACCACAAGGTTAAGCACAGCCTGGGTTACATTGTAGGATTTTGTGTCAAAAAACAAAACAAAACAACAACAACAACATAAATTCCAAAGCCCACCCCAGAAATAAAGAGAACCTTACATCTTTCTGGTCTTTGGTCAGTCTTTCCTCCAGTTCCTGGGCTAACTGCAAAAGCCACCATTGGACCTAAAAAGGTATTGTAATGTTAATCTCTCCCTCAAATACTCCAGGTCTCTTATAGCATTAGATAGTGCATTTGTTCAGTTCTAACCCAAAGGAATCTGTGTACCAATGGCTCCCCACAACCAGATCATCAGAAGTCCAGTACTATCCTGCCCAAGTCCAGGTTAACTTTCTTTTTCTGCTGGTATGGCATCTTGGTGAATTTCAGCCATGTTCCAGCTCTCAGAAAATAGACTTCAAATTGAGGTACAAAATGCCAGGCTTCCCAAATTCTACCTACTTGCTAGGTGAAAGGCTTCAAGCTAGTCATCAAAGTCACATATGTAGGAGTCCACTACAGGTGGCTCACACCTGTAATTCTAGCAAAGGGGGAGGAGGAAGAGGTCAAGGCTAACTTGGGCTGTAAAGCAAGACCTTGCCTTTAAAAAAAGTTTCTACCTTAAAAAAAAAAGAGAAATTTCAATTCCACTTTATTTCTTATTTATTTATGAGATAGGGTCTCACTATGTGGTTCAGGCTGGTCTTGAACTCAGTATACAGCCTAGGCTAGCTTCAAAATCGAGGCAATCCTCCTGCCTCAGCCTCCCAAGTACTGGGATTACAGAGAGATTACCAGCTTATTTCTGTTTAACTGAAAGAGAAAAAAGTCAATCGCAAGTTAAATGAATCAATTTTAAGACAAAAATAAACTTCTGACCTACTAAACTTCAAGCCAAACTTGGAGAACTGCTTGTAATTCTAGCACCCTGGGAAGCTGAGGAAGGAGGGTCACAGTCTGAGTCCAGCCCAGCCAACTTAGTAAGAGAGATTCTGTCTCAGAACAAATTAAACAAGAAAATCCCCAAATACTTTCCACAGCTACCAAAATCTACCTATTAAACCCTTTAAAAGAGACAGCACTGATCTGGACATGATGGCATATGCCTGTAGCCCCAGTTACTCAGGAAGCTGAAACCGGAAGATCACAATGTTGAGGTCAGCTTAGGGAACTCAGTGAGACCCTGACTCAAAATAAAAAAGGGTTGCCAGGCGTGGTGGCTCATGCCTGTAAACCTAGCACTCGCAAGGCTGAGGTGGGAGGATCATTGCAAGTTCGAGACCAGCCTGGGCTACAAAGTGAGCTCAAGGCCAGCCTGAACTGCATAGCGAGACCCTGTCTCAAAAAAAAAAAAAAAAAAGAAATGAGAACATAAAATAAAAAAAGGGCTAGGATGTAGCTCAGAGGTAGAGCTCCCCTTGGTTCAATCCCTATACCACATAGAGGCCGTGTTCTCAGGATGGGCAGGCTGCTCAGTGGTACACCCCTGTCCAGCGGGAACAGGGCCCCGGGTTCAATCCTCAGTGCCACAAACAAACAAACAAAAAGGCAGTGCTCTGTCCAGGCTGCCTGCTTACCTGCTCCCGAGTAGCCAAAGCTGTTTTTCCTGGGAAGTTTTTGCTACAGCCAATGGTTTTGGGCAGCTGCCTGGGTTTAACTGGATCATGTTCAATCCCTCGGCACATGGCATACAGCCAAGATCTAGTAAAACCAGCAAAAACATTGCAGGGCACGATAAATGATTATTCTTATTAAACTATCCATATTATATCACTTTTATCTTTCTCATACCAAAGGAGAAATGTGTCCAAAGTGAAAAGCGTACCTGACCTTTGACAAACCCCTGCCCTTCTCAGGTGATCCCAGGGTAAGAGCCTGGCAAGGACAGTAACACTATTTTGCTTTTTTTTTCTTTTGAGACAGGGTCTCACCATGCATGCAGGCTGGCCCTGAACTTGCTTATGTAGCCCAAATTGGCCTCAAACTCACAGCAGTCCTCTGCCTCCCCCTCCCAAGTGCTGGGATCATAGGCATATAGCCACCTTGCCTGACTGTTCTATTTTTTAAAGCAAATTAATCTGTCTATTGAAAAAACTGGGGATTTAGCTCAGCGGCTTAAGCACCTGCCTTGCAAGAGGGCTGGGGATTTAGCTCAGCGGCTTAAGCACCTGCCTTGCAAGCAGGCAGTCGTGAGTTCAATCCCCGGTACCGATAAAAAAGGGAAAAGACCACAAAAAAAAAAAAAAAAAAGAAAAAACTGCCCAGCAAGCCTCAGTTCATATCCCCAAAGTTTTTCATTTTCCCCGTTTTTTTAGAACCTAATAAACAGGGATTTCTAGGGGCTGGGGATTTAGCTCAGCGGCATAAGCACCTGCCTTGCAAGCAGGCAGTTCTGAGTTTGATCCCTGGTACCGATAAAAAGGAAAAAGATAAAAAAACAAAAAAAAAAAAAACACAAGGCAAGGGAACATCATGGCACATATAAATGATGTAATAGTACATACCCCAGTTTCAAAGTAACAGTTTCCATTGACCCCCTCCCCATACATGAAAACATGACTCTAGACTGACAGGCTATAGTGATCCAATTTTTTATTTATTTTTGCAGTGCTGGAGATTAAACCCAGGGTTCTAGCACAGAGCCTTACTGCCTAGTACCTTAAAACAAGAAAGACCAACCAATGAAATTAGTTCAAGGAACAAATGCTAAACATAGGTCTAAATTATACTAGAAGCTTTTGTCTATATTTGAACCTAGCATTTCCACAAAGATTATGATTGAAAAACAGTATGAATCACTTACCCATTCTTCTCTCCAAAATGATTCTGGAGCTGGGATTCAGTGAACTGGGTCAGTTCACCCATATATTCTATACCTAAGACTTCAATGACAGAGGCTCCTAGCTTTCCTCCAAGACTTCGGCTAATAATAAAGGAAACAAAGGCACTGTAAGTATTGAGTAATAGCAAACAGAAGACATGCTCAGCTGCCAGTAGCTCTCCAGAAGGTACAGGAAGATGACAGTATACACTCATCCTGTACACTCTTTATGTGCTGAGAATTTAGATACTCTGGGAATTAGGACCCAGGAAGAAAATTAGTAATAGCATAAAGGAAAGATCAGTCGTTAGCTATATAATCAACTGAATATAACATTTTCAATTGTGTAAAACATACTATTCCATTTGAGGGTTACATTCCACAGCTGGAACCTTTCCTGCTTGCTAAGGCTATGGTCACAAGTCTTGAGCCTGGCCTTGGAAAACCCTGTACTTTGTCCAGCACCTACCTTGCCAACACTGCTCCCACCGCTCACTGCAGAGTGGCAACCAATTATGTCTGGTTCCCTACGTTTTCCCCTTTGTCCTCAAACATCTAAATCAGTACTATTTTATGATTCTTGTCTGACTCCACACTATGCTAAACTTCAAAAGAGATTGCCATGCTGGTGTCATAAATCTCTCTCACAGGTCCTTCTTCTTTGTGTGACCTTTGGTAACTATCTGCACAATTCACTTAACACACACTCATATGAATCCCAGGAAAGCATTTTTACTCTTGGTGTGAACAGTATCATTAACCCTCATCAAGAACACACAACAGAAGCCAGGGGTAGTGGCACATCCCTGAAATCCCAGCACTCGGGAGGCTGAGGCAGGAGGATCATTGGGAGAGCCACCTGGCCTACAAAGTGAGCTCAAGGCCAGTGTGAACTGCACAAAGAGACTCTGCCTCAAAAAGACAAAAGCAAAGAAAAAGAACACACAACAGGTAAGCACAATTCATTTGATTGGTTTCTTTTATGCAAAGCCTGGGTGCAAATACCAGCACCATCACAACAGGGAGGGGAAAAAAAGCAGAATAAAAGGTCCAGAGAAAAGTTAAATTTTTTTTAAAAATTCAAGATTAAGCCAGGAATTTAGCTCAGTGGCAAATGCCTGTTTGGCAAGTGCGAGGTCATGAGTTCAATCCCTGGTTCCCAAAAAAATAAAATAGAAAAATAAAAATTCAAGATTAAGTATCTACCACAGGTCTTCCACTATTACAAACTCATTAAGAAAAAAAGTCTCAGTGTGTCTCTAGATCCAATATTTCTGAGGAACAAAACAAACTACAACCAGAGAGCATCTTCATGGGGACATGAATGAAACTACGGTGCTCCCCAAATACTCACATCTTACGAATAGGCATCTGGCTGAAGAGCTGGGGGACGGAGCCATGAGACACCAGGGTCTGGCGGTTGGGCTTGTTTAGTCCGCAGGCCAGTTTTGCCAGGACCTGGAAGCATGGAAAGTATAAAAACCTCAGTGCAGTCAGCCAACTTACACAGAGTGGGTGGAAACACACACAAAATGCTGCATGCACAAATGTATGTACACACACACGCAGCCTAAGGGCTGTCACTAATGGTTTCTAAAGTGGAAACAATGGATTCTACGCTAGAAACAAAATATAGACAGAAACTCAAGAAATCTCTGAAACTTTGTGATTGCCAGCATCTTCAGTGGCAAACGTGATCCACTGTCAGGATCCTCATTGCTCTTCCCAGCCTTCCACCCTCCAGTCATTTTCCTCTTCTATCTAGTCTTTGAGGTTGGTTCACCCATTTCAAGTTTGTTGGTTTATTTTATTTTTTGTTAAACAGGGTCTTGCTATGCAGTTCAGGTTGGTTTTGAACTCACTATGTAGTCCAGGCCAGCCTTGAACTTGAAGCAATTCTTCTGCCGCAGCCTCCTGAGTGTTGTAAGTGTGCACTACCACATGCAGCCCACTTCAAATTTAAAAAACAGGAGCTATAGAAGAAACTTGGTGGATTTCTTTGAAAATATTATGAAAACATTAAATTTGTTCTACTCTACCCTGCTTATTTACACTTCTTAGATTTTTTTTTTTTTTTTTTGTATATACAGTGCAGGATCAAACCAAGGGCCTCCTGTACAATAGGCCACATCACTGAATCATATCTGCAGTGCATATTTCTTGCTACAAGGTTACTCCTAAATTTAATACAATATATCACAATACAATATATCACAATCTAGTATCTATGATAGAGCTCAGACTCAAAATCTTGCTATAGGGGCTGGGGATTTAGCTCATTGGCACACAAGTGCCTGCCTGGCAAGCATGAGGTTGTGAGTTTGATCCCTGGTACCAAAAAAAAAAATCTTGCTATAATAGCAAACATATTCCTACCTATCAACAACTTAAAAATGAAAAGAAGTTAAACTTTTAAAAGGAATTCTTTTAAAATAGGCACTCCTTTGTTATCATTTGTGAATTATGTTTGGTGTAAAAATATAAAATGCTGGATTTAGTGTTGTATACCTGGAAATCCAACAATCTGGGAGGCTACGGCAGCAAGATCACAAATTCTCGGTCAGCCTAGGCAATTTAAGGGCTTAGTGAAATCTTGTCTCAAAATTAAAAAAAAAAAAAAAAATGAGGCATGGAGGATAAGCGAAAGTATAATATACTTAGGGCGCTCCACATAAGAAGAAATAATACAAAAATATTGAGCAAGTGAGAAATAAAATAGGTTAATATATATAAAAATACAAAGACTAGCCTCCTTTCTATGGATAGTTCAGTCATTAAGGAAATACTTTGCTTGTTAGCTATATAAAAAAGCATTTTCTACAATTTTTCACACTACTTCTTAGCAATGTTAAGCAATATTACTTAAACTATTATTCAGGCTTCAGTATAAACTTTTATTTTTCTTTTTGGTCTTTTTGAGACACAGTCTCACTATGCATTTCAGGCTTGCCTTGAGATAATGTTGTAGCCCAGACTGTTCTCAAACTCACAAAGATCCTCCTGCCTCAGCTTCCCAAATGCTGGGATTACAGGCATGTGCCACCATGTCCAGCTTTTCAATATAAACTTTAAATTAAAATCCTCTTAAAAGTATTTGGTCTCACTCTATAGTCCTGGTTGGCCATGAATTCAAAATCCTCCCACCACTCCTCCCCTCTTCCCTCCCCCACCCCTCCCGGGGGTGGGGGGAGGATCTTCCCATCACAACTTCCCAAGTACTGAGATTACATGTATGTACCACCATGCTAGGCTTTATATAGATGACTTATTTTTTTCTTTTTGAGACAAGGTCTTGCTGTGAGGTTCAGGCTGGCTTTGGGTTCACTTCTGTAACCCAGGCTGGTCTGGAACTCACAACAATCCTCCTGCCTCAGCCTCCCAAGTACTGGAATTATAGCAGTGTACCACCACACCTGGCTCTACTGGTAATAATTTAATTGCTGCACTTATGCCTATCTTTGCTTTATTTGACTAAAGATATCCATGTTTCTCTTCAAAGTTTATGCTAAGTTTCACCTTATTGTGTGAAATTCCAGCTGAACACTGAAACCCAGTCTGCCTTTCAATGGCTGCTCTCATTTCCTCCACAATCAGTGCCCCCACGGTGAGCTGCAGATCCGGAGAGGCGAGGTTATCAATCTGAAGAGAATCAAGCCACTCGTATAATCCTCGTTTACGCATCTCCTCTGAAACAGGTTGAAAAGCACCCTTAGACATTTAATCACTGTTCTCAGGCATGAGTCATATAGTAATTGGTCATCAGACTGCACAAGCTGGACGTGATGGCGCATGCCTATGTTTCAGCACACTGGACTTTTCAGTTGGGAAACCAAGGCAGGAAGAATGGGAGTTGGAGAGCAACCTGAGCTACACATAAGACCTGTCATAAAAACACTCAAAGACTGCATATGATGGTATTTTCTGCACAGCCTAGACATGCAGCAGGCTGTGTGATGTAAGTTCATGTAAGTGCACTCTATGACGTGCACGCAGTGGCCAATTGCCTGACAATGTGATATACTGCCATGGTTAAGCAGTACTGTGCTACTTCATGTAGAAATGCTTGGATTTCATCTACTTTAGATATTTACATTTTCTTAAGTCATGCCAGCAGAGAGCAGGAGCACTCATTATGTTAATAATTAGAAAATACTTCCTTTAATGTGTTGTTCATCTTCCTCATTGTTTCTAGAGTCTGTCAAAAAAAGAAATGTAGGGGCCAGGGATTTAGCTCAGTGGCTCAAGCACTTGCCTGTTAAGTGTCAGGGCATGAGTTCAATCCTCAGTACCAAAAAAAAAGAAAGGAATGTGTATGTACTTCAGTTTTTCTTTTCCTGGAGAGTGTATAGTTTTTGGAGGACTCCATAGGTGAAGCTTTACCTCTCTAACACACTTTTGCCTTTAAATGGGAATCAGACTGAAGGCCTCACACATGCTAAGCATGCATTCTACCAGAGCTACACGCTCAGCCCTCAAAAATTCCTACCTTGTTCCTACCTCACTACTTGTTGTTGTTGTTGTTAGTCTAATTTATTCTGGAGCCTTATAGTAAGAGTAGGGTCTTATTATGTAGTTTAGGCTGGCCTCAAACTCACAGTGATCCTCTTGTCTCAGCCTTCCTAGGACTAGGATTACAGGGTGCACCGCAATGCCCAGTCCCTACTGTGTTTTTAAACCAGTGTGTCCGTACTTCCTGTGTACCCAACTCCACTGCTGTGTAATCACAATCTTACGTCTTTTTAGCCTGGCAAACCAAACTCACAACTGTGGACAGTTCTAAATAGGACAGTGACATATTTTCATCTAAGTGATCTGAGCAAGTTTCCTCTTGCCTTGGATGTTTTTTCTCTTGGAGCAGTGGCACTATCTTATGGCTGAACTTGCATCCCTGGCATGAAGCCTATTTGGCCATGATGTATGATCTTTTTGATGATATGCTGCACTGTCTGCCAAGATTTTCTTAAAGAGTTTGCATCTATATTCATTGAAGACATTGGCCTATCATTCTCTTTTTTGGTCTGGGTCCTTGTCTGTTTTTGGAAACAGGGTAATGCTAACTTCTAGGAGCAAGTTCGGGAGTACTCCTTCCCTTTCAGTTTCATTAGAGAACTTGAGAAGGTTTGGCATTAGAAGTTCTTGTAGAAATCAGCAGTGAATTCATCCTGACCTGAGCTTTTCTTAGTTGGCATGTTTTTTTTTTTTTTAATTACTGCTTCAATTTCAGTACCCATGATTGGATTATTCAGAGTTTTCATTTCTTTTTCATTCAGCTTGGTAGTTTATATATGTCTGGAAATCTGTCCATTTCATCAAGATTCTCCAATACTTTGGAGTACAAATTTTCCTAGTAGTTACTAGTGAGCTGGAATTTGGCAGTGTCTATTGTGATTTTGCCTTTTTCATTTTTAATTGCATGAATACGGGTCTTTTCTTTCTTTCAGTAAGGGCTTATCTATCTTGTTTAGTCTTTCAAAGAATTAGCTCTTTGTTTTCATTAATTCTTTATAGTTTTATGTGTCAATTTCATTAATTACTCTGATCTTTATGACTTTCTTCCTTATACTAGATTTGGATCTGGGCTAGTCTTCATTTTGTAGGATTTTAAGGTGAATCATCAGGTTATTTATTTGAACGCACTCTATTTTTCTAGGATGAGTGTTCACAGCAATAAACTCCCCCCTTAGGGTGCTTTCATTGTGCCCCGTAGGTTCTGGTGTGTTGTACTACATTATCACTTCATTCTAGGAATTGTTTCATCTTTTCCTTGATTTCTTCTCTGGCCCATTCAGCCTTTAGGAGTCAACCCCTCATTTCTAATAAAGGTTTAAAATCAAATGTTGGCTTCTTTTCGTTCATTTTCCACTATGTAGTCATTGTTAATAAAGTCTACTTAAAAATGTTTCATACATCCATTCCAACACATCCTTTTGATTCATATTTTCTTTAGCCTTCAAGTTTTTTTTTTCTCCCTTTGGTACAGGGAATTGAAATTGGGACCTTGTGCATGCCAGGCAGGTGTTGAGCCGCTACATTATATCCCCAGCCCTTTTTTCTTTAATCTTACCTATACCACCTCAACTGCCAAATTGCCCTCTCCCCAGATGTATTCTACACACTGCTCACAACTTAATATTCTTAAAGACTAATATTATCAATCTTATCCTCTGATCAAAACTGCCATTGGGGACCAGGAATTTAGCTTAGCAGCACAAGTTTGGCTGGCAAGTGCAAGGTCGTGAGTTTGATCCCCACACCAAAAAAACTCCCAAAACACCTAAAACTGCCATTGGTGTTCTTACATCTGCAGAATAAAGTACCAGCTCCACAAACTGGCAGTAAAGACTATCAGCTTGTCTCAGTCAAGATTTATTAATCTTAACTTTATCTTTTTCACAGTTTCCTGGATATGCCATGTTTCTATCTGAATACATCATGTATTCTGTATTGTTGATTTTGTAATTCTATTCCCCTCTTAATTTAAATATCTGTATTTTAAGGCTTATCCCAAGTCTCATCTGTCACAAATCCTCTTTGCTAACAAACTAGCTAATTTCAGGTTGCCCCACTAATGTTCTTTAACTTTTCTGTAACAAGAAATAAAGCGTAACTGTTAACATATTCTGTAGCCAGGCAGGATTCAGATACTGGCTTCACAATTTAGCAACTGTGGGACATGTTATGTCCCACACAATTTATGTAATTTTCTCAGCTTCAGTGTCATTATCTATAAACACACACACACACACAATTTATGTAATTTTCTCAGCTTCAGTGTCATTATCTATAAACACACACACACACACACACACACACACACACACACGGTGAGTTCAGTCCCTGGTACAAAAAAAGTATACTACAAATGGGAGAAGAATAGATACATTATTTTAAATAAAGTCATTATCAAAGGTACAAGAAGATGTCTAGGAATAAGATGTAGACACCACTGAAGGGCATCTATATGAGGAATTCTTTGCCCTGAGAGATCCACCAAAGACCTATTTTATACAAATTCTTAGACAGGGCTGGGAATTTAAGCTCAGTGGCGTAAGTGCCTGCCTAGCAAGCGTGAGGTAGTGAGTTTGATCCCCAGTACTGCAAAAAAAAATAAAAATAAAAATAAAAATCTTTGATCTTTTACCTGAAACTATCATAATCAATTATACCATAAATGTAAGGTTTTATTCCCCTAATCTATTCTACTCTTAAAAAGTATTTTTGAGACAGGGTCTCCCTACACAGTCCAGGTTCAGGATGGGCTCCAACTTGTTATGGAATCTAGCCTTTGTCTCAATATCCTTTTGCCTCAGCCTCTCAAGTGCTACATTACAGGTGTTTGCCACTATGATTGGCTGAAAAAAATTTTTAATCTTCGAGTACACTTTGTTAAAACATTTATGCAGATTATATCACAAGTCTATGTCAGGGAAATAGAGTTGATCTTATTTTAAAAATCTTTTTTCTTTTGTGCCAATAACAAAATACAATAGAAAAGAGTATAAAATGATAATAGTAATACACACTTTAAAGCATTTGAGAACATAACAAATGAATAAAAAATATCTTTATGGAAGAAAGTTATGCCTTAATGAAGACATAATTGGATATTCATGTAATAAAAGAAATTGTAGAGCTGGATGTGGTGGCACCACATCTGTAATCCCAGCACTAGGGAGGCTGAGGCAAGAGATCACCATGAGTTCAAACCAGCCGAGCTACATAAACAAGTCCAAGGCCAGCCTGAATTGCAAGGTGAGACCCTGTCAGAAAGAATGAAAGAAAGAAAGAGAGAGAGAGAGAGAGAGAGAGAGAAAGAAAAATTGTAACTCCTATCATATCACATACACATAATGAATGGAGTATATATCTAAATGCAAAAGTCAACACAATAAAGCTTCTAGAAACAAAAAAATATGCTGGGTATGATGGTGCACAGCTGTAATTCCAGCACTCAAGAGCTGAATCACTGAGAGAGGTCGGCCTGGGCTACATGGTGAGTTTGAGGCCAAGGTCAACTACATAGTAAGATCCTAACTAAAACAAACAAACAAAAAGAACCCCAACATTTCAGCAAGTATTTTTAAGCTTAGATGATAACCAATCGTTAGTGAGAGCAAAGTAGAAACAGGAACTCTTGTGTACTGCCAGAGTGTGTCAGCTCTGACAGTGCCCCCAGGCAGCCGTAGGCAGCACTTAAAAAACACAGTTAACGGGGCTGGGGATTTAGCACAGCGCCATAAGCGCCTGCCTTGCAAGCAGGCAGTCCTGAGTTCGATTCCCGGTACCGATAAAAAGGAAAAAGACCAAAAAAAAAAAAAAACACAGTCTACTTGTACACTCTGCAGCCTACTGGTCCATTCCTGCAAACACTTCCCGCAGAGTCCATAGGTCCAATAGAGGATAAGGACATTCAGTTCATAATCTGAGTGTCAGAAGCCACCATTGCAGCCATCACCAGGAAGTTATCTGCAATTACGGTGTAGCCATTCACAAATTATGTCACAGGTAAAAGCCATTAATTATCTAAAAATTCAGCCACACAGATCTCTAAAATCACCACTGAAAGAAAACTAAGAGAAAAAGTGAGATGTATAATTAGCACACCATCATCTTGTAATTAAAAGCACAAAAAATAATAATGTATAATTTTAAAAGACACACATAGCTGGGTATAGTGATACATGCCTACAATCCCAGCATTTGGGAGGCTGAGGCAGAAGGACTGCCACAAGTTTGAGCCTAGCCTGGGATACACAGAAAGTTCAAGGTCAGCCTGAACTAGCAAGACCCTGTCTCAAACAAAAAATACATAGAGACATACAGCTAAGGCGATAAAATGTCAGTGGATAAGGATGAGCGGGTTGGAGGGCATGAAGAAACACTACAAAGAAAAAAATAAAATGTGGCCACCAAACCACTCATTGATGATAATATGCTATCAATTGATCATAAATTTTAAATAACTGCCTATATTTTTTCCTTTTTTTAATTTTTTTAAAATTTTTATCAGTACCAGGGATCGTACTCACGACTGCCTGCTTGCAAGACAGGTGCTTATGCCACTGAGCTAAACCCCCAGCCGCCTAACTGCCTATATTTGAGATCTCCCTTTAAAAAGTTCATCCTTACAGATGAGACCAAGAAACAAAACTATAATATATTTAACCCAAAGATAAAGGAACTGCTTAGTCAGTCTACTACTTTCTTCTAGTCACACTAACCTATGGTAGTTACAGCAAAAGTGATATTTACTTTCAAACAGATTTCAGTTTCTGAACATGCATATACCTGGAAAGATAAGAGAATTTGTATATCCTCTCATGTGAGTCCTTGTGATTCTACAGTAGCAGTAGTTTAAATTTCTTTTCAGTCATTCCAAGAAGAATCTGCATGACCAAGCAAAGCAGGCTCCAAAGGTAGGAAGCAGAAGCAATATGACGTTATGGGAGTACCTTTCTGACCAGTCTCTTCTGCTGCTGGCCTAGGGCCTTGGGGCAAGCCTTCGACGTAAGTAGTTGGCAACAAGTCTGCTGATATAGGCTGGCCTTGCAGCTTCTGTAGTCTCTCTTGTACAGCACTAGTCAGATCTATATATGCTTCATCGATGCTGGCACGTTCAATCACAGCAAAATGAGACATCACCCCCATCACTTCAACACTGGCTTCTCGGTACCTAAGAAGCACAAGAGTCACATACAAACGCAACCTTAAGACTGTCAGCCCACCCTCGCCCTCTCATAATGAACAATAACTTACATGATTAAGAGACATGTGGTTTAACAGAGACTAAACTATTAGTGGGGAGGCAGATGATCAGTAACAGAAGGAAAAGGGAAAAAAATCCTGGAGGGAAATTATGATAGTGCAATGCTAGCACTAGCAAGGCAGGAAGCATGCAGACCATGAATGTTCTACAGGACAAGTATTTCTCTAAAAAGGAAAGAAATGCTATGCACCGAAAGACATTTACTATGATCATATAATCCTTTGTTATTTTCTACCACAGAAGATGTTTGCTTTTGATTCTGTTTTCAAATAAGAGTAAATTTAAGCTGGGCATTGTGGCACACACTTATAATCCCAGTATTTGGGAGGCTGAGGCAAGAGTGCTGTGAGTTGGACACCAGCCTGGGCTACATAGTGAGGTCAAGGCCAGCCTGGACTACATAGCGACACTATGTGTCAAAGAAACAAACAAAAAAATTTTTTTTAAAAAGTTACCTTATAGGTAATGGATCAGTGAACAGAGAATCTGGTTTTCCTCAGGGTGGCATCTCACCATAGCAAGCTGACATATGGACTCTGTACTTCAGCCAATGAGTTCAGCTAACACTGGCCTGCTCATCATACACATATATTGCAACCAGTCACTTCTCGGTCTACACTCACTCACAAGATCATCAACTGAAGATATGTGCCTAGAATGCGGTGATGCAGCCAGGAAGGCAGATGGACTTCCTCAGGGTCAACTTTCTTCTAATCTGTCTTCTGTTTCAGTCATGAGCCACTATGCTGTCATGCAGCTAGTTTTCCATGACAGTACAAAGATGTTTGCTTTGTTTGGGCACTGCTATGTAATTTTAGGTTCTTTGATTCTGTTATATTTGTCATAAAAATGAAACTATCTGTACCTTTTTTTTTTTGGTGCGAGCGATTGAACTCATGACCTTGCGCCTGCCAGACAATGTGCCGCAGAGCTATATAACCAGCTGTACCTCTTCCCTAAGACACTTATAACCAATGTCCTAAAACAACATCAAATGAGAAGTCGGAGCTATATATATTGGGCTTTTATCCTTTTAATCCTTATTTGCTTTTGGAAGAAGACAGTCCCAGAGGAAAGAAGGGACCGATGTAGTCCTCCACACAGCAGGAAAGGATGCTCGTATGGCTGGTTGGTGCTGCAGCAGTACTTTCTTTTTCTTTTCCTTCTTTTTTTTTTTTTTGGTGGGGGGTACCGAGGATCAAACTCACAACCCCACACTTGCCAGGCAGGCACTTACGCCACTGAGCTAAATCCCTGGCCTGTATCAATAGTTTCCTCATAGCCCTTTGAATAAATTAAAGTTTCTGAACGATATAGGAAATTTTATTTAATAACCTAGTGTCTCCAGATAATTAGTAAAATGACTTTAAGTTGTAATACTTTTAATCATAAATTTTATGGTTTGATGAGGATTTTAAAAGTAATAATCTAAAAAAAAAAAAAAAGTAATGATCCAGTTGGGTACAGTGACACATACAGGTTAATGCCAGTTACTCCAGAGGTAAAGACAGGAGAACAAACAGCAAGTTCAAGGCCAACCTGGGAACTTAAAAGAGCTGGGCACCGTAGCACGTGATTATAATTTCAGCTACTCAGCAAGCTGAGGCAGGAGGATTACAAATTCAAGATAGTCTGGGCAACTTAGCAAGATCCTGTCTCAAAAACATTTTTAAAAAGGGCTGCCAATGTAGCTCAGTGGTAGTGTTCCTGGGTTCAATCCTCAGTACTGGAATAAATGAAATAAAAATGGCCATGGAAATAACCCACTGGTATGGTATTCATCAGGAATGTTTGAGACCGTGGGTTCGATTCCGCCTTGTTATGTTTTTCATCAATTTTTTTTTGTCTTTTTCCTTTTTATTGGTACCAGGAATTGAACTCACGACTGCCTGCTTGCAAGGCAGGTGCTTATGCCGCTGAGCTAAATCCCCAGCCCCTAAGCACATCTTCTTTTCTGGCAATAACTCCAATGTCAGGCTGGCTAGGCCACTCTACTTTTAGTCTTCTAATTCATAGATGAATTAGTCTTCTAATTCAGCTATCTTGAGTTCCAGGTCAAAGTGTAATACTATACCACACAGTACTATACCATGAGAATGTAAATACTGGAATCTAAAAAGAGTAAATGTAAATCCCTAGTCTTCTACTAAGCTGTGTGAACTTACTTTAACCTCTCTAAACTTGATTCCTTATCTATAAAGGGAAGAATATTGGTATCTTTTAATAATGTGAGATTTCAAAGCAGTACAGCCTATAAGGAGCATCAGGTAATACCTTGAATGTGATATACGCTGAGTACATTTGCCTATTAGGATTATTATGGGCTGCAGCTTCTTCCTACCTTTATACATGTCTCTCATTTCAAGGCTAAACTTCTAAAATTTGTGGAAAGTCTACTCAATTCACAAACAGAAAGATGCAGGTATGGTAGCACATGCCTGTAATCCCAGCCCTCAGGAGGCCTAGGCTGAAGCATTATTACAAATTCAAGGCTAGCCTGGCCTACATATTGAGTTCAAAGCAGTTTGAGGCACATAGTAAGATCCTGTCTCAAAAAAACAAAACAAATGAAACAAAATAAAACAAAGCACAGAAAGCAATTATCTTTATTTATTTAGCTTTGGCAGACAATATTTTGTATTTAACATTAGCAAATAATTTAAAATATTGCACTAAAATGTGAGTTTGAGGTTTCCCTGGAAATATTTAAGTTTTATGGTCTTCTAAAATCACTTTAGGCTTTTGGACTAAGAACATGGAAAATTTTTTTAAAATGTGAATTGGTATTAAATTTTAATTATCATGGGGCTGGGGATTTAGCTCAGCGGCATAAGCGCCTGCTTTGCAAGCAGGCAGTCGTGAGTTCGATCCCTGGTACCGGGAAAAAAAAATTTTTTTTAATTATCACAACCTAGCTAGGCCTGGTGGTGCACACCTGTAATCTCAGCGCTCAGGGGGCTGAGGCAGGAGGATTACCATGAGTTTGAGGCCAGCTTGAATTACAGAGCAAGGCCCTGTCTCAACTTCCCTCCAATAAACAAAATTGTAATAATTTTAAACAACTAAAGAAATAAGTGGTTATCAGAGAAGCAGTGATTATAATACTAGTTCTGAACAATTAATTACCGAAATAGAATGTCAAAACCTTTCTGTTTTCATTTCACAGAGCTAAGACGTTGCCAAAGGGAACTTTTCAGATGTTATTTACACAAAAGTACCCTGAAATATCAGTTTCAACCCTTATGAATTATTATTTTCTGACTTTCCACATCCCGTTAACCTTTTTTTCTTACTTGGTAAGGTTAGCTTTTCCCCGGGATTCACGAACTTGTGCCAGTAGAAGATCTGGACATAACTTCTTAGCATCATCGGCCCACATATTTCTAGTCACCCCAAATGCCCGAGCTTCATAACTCACTGCAATTATTCTAAGGAAGGAAAAAAAAAAGAGGGACCAAAGTAAAAATCTTACATTAAGCAGGAATAGGCCATGGACACATAAAGTTCGAGACTTTCTGACCACAGATACCATTCGATTCTAAAAGCAGCAGCTTAGAAATCTCAGAGACAAAAGCTCACATACCACCACTGTATCTCCACGGATTAAAGCAGCTCTACACAGTCACAACAGTATCAGTACATACCCACCACCTTTCCAGGATTTATACTGCACAACTGCACAAGGTTTATTCCTCAAATGAGGGTTTTGCCGCTGTTCCACTTGCACAAAGAAACAGTCCATGTCCACAAGAGCAACCACTCGGTCTTGTCCAGTTTCCATTTGTTCTGTAAGAAGACAGTTCATGGAGTCAGAGAGATGTTAATGCCAAATGCCAGGGGAGACTGTACTTCCAGTCTTTCGCTGATGAGTTACCATAAGCCGGGAGCAAGGGAACTAAAAGGAATGCAAGACATTGTCACACACCGCTGGCATGAGCATAATTAATACAACTTTACAAGGTAACAAATATTAAAAACTTTAAAAGTAATTCCTCCTCAAAAGAATCAAACATTTCACACTTTTGTGAACACTCATTAGGTGTGTAAAAACAGGCTCAGCATCATTGCTCATGAGGAAATGCAAACACAAACCACAATGCATAGGTAGAAAGCACCGAAAATAGAGAAGCGTCGCAGAGCACCCTGGAACTCACCACAGCGGGGACAACGCTTTCTGGTTTTGAAGCACCAGTCAACATGGAGCTCTGGTTTTGTGGGTATAACAAAGTTTCTAAACACACATAAAGCATATCGGGTTAAGAATCTGGTAAGTCCAAAGGCCTTACTGTCAAAAGCAAAAATTAACTTTCAAAAGAAATCTATGTTATATGAGAAAAATTACCTACTGACTGTTGCCTACAGCTACTTTAGCTAGTAGTGGGACTCAGTATCCTGTGGGAGAATTTAACAAGGTAATGACATGTAAATACTGGCATTTCATTTCTTCTGTGCGCTGCCTGCCTCGGCTTTCAGGGCATTTTACCCTCACAGTTTTGACTAAAATCCTAAAAAATATTCCATGCTTCACATTAACCTTACTTGACAACTAAAAAGGCACTTATGCCGCTGAGCTAAACCTCCAGCCCCCAGGGAAGCTTAATTTTATAAGACAATGTATTTTTATTTTGTTTTGTTTTGAAACAGGGTTTCACTATGTAGTTCAGTTGGCCTTAAAAATACGAATACTGAATATATATATTTCTTTGTCAGGCTCTAAACAATGCAATGTAACAACTATTTACAACTCATCTACATTATATAGTAAATCTCTGATTTAAGAACATCCCAGTTAAGCCGGGGGTGATGGCTCACGCCTGTAATCCCAGCACTCGGGAGGCTGAGGTGGGAGGATCGTTGTGAGTTCTAAACCAGCCTGGGCTACAAAGTGAGCTCAAGGCCAGCCTAAACTGCATAGCGAGACCCCGTCTCAAAAAGACAATAAAAGAGAACATTCCAGTTGCAAACTTTCACAAATACGAATGGACCTTGCATTAGAATTATTCATAGGTGCAGATGAATAGCTCAGCTGTTATACACTGTCACAGTTGTGCTGCTGTATGCTCACTGTACAATGTGGTATGTACAGTAGTAAAGCGCCCAATCAGAGCCCAGGATATGAGAAAGGAAAAGGAGTGGTGATGTGGAGGGGACTGCTAAGAAGCACAAGGCAATAACCATGGAAACAAAAGTACAAGTACAGTATATGACTTACTTTGTCAGACTTTGTTCTCCCAGAACAGACTGTGTTCAAAAGTTGGGGACTTGGGGCCGGGGATTTAGCTCGGCACAAACATTTGCCTGGCAAGTGTCAGGTCATGAGTTCAATCCCCAGTACCAAAAACAAAAAAAGATCAAAAGAAAGCGGGGGCTGGGGCTGGGGATTTAGCTCAGCGGCATAAGCGCCTGCCTTGCAAGTTCCATCCCTGGTACCGATAAAAAACCAAAAAAGACAAAAAAAAAAAAAAAAAAAAAAAAAAAAGCGGGGACTTACTGTATTAGGTATGATAAATATTCTAGAAATGATTCAAAGTATTTTGTCAGAGGCTTAAGTTGTCACTTCCTTAACATTCTCAAGGTTGTGGACTTTATCCCCAGTGCCAACTAGTCTATGGGAGGATGTGCACAATTTTATATGCAAACACTACATAATTTTTGTCTTTTTCGTTTTTATCAGTACCAGGGATCAAACTCATGACCACACACTTGCAAGGCAGGCGCTTATGCCACTGAGCTAAATCTCCAGCCCCAATTTTTTTTTTTTTTTGAGACAGGTTATGCAAGTCAGGTCAGGCTGATCTTGAACTCACTATGTACCCCAGGCTGGCCTCAAATGTGTGGTGATCCTCTTGCCTGAGCCTCCCAAGTGCTGGGATTACAAGTGTAAGGGTTATGTTGTTCTATACAAGACCTTAGCATTCGCAAATTTTAATATCCTGTGGGAGTATACCGGAACCAATCATCCCATGGACAACTATATAACATAGAATTTATTTTTTTAAAAAATCATAATTATTAAAATTAAAAAATGAACACTGATAAAACTTTGACTCAACTACAAGCTGATTGGGTTTCACTGGTTTTTCCATGACTGCATTTCTCTAGTCTTGATTCCAATGTAGGATGTCTCCTTAGTCTCTTCCAATCTGTGCTCTCCCTTTTGGTCTTTCTTTGATTTTCATGACCTTGACACTTGCGGGCAGGGACAGTGTGGGGGCTTGAACCCCAGGTCTTGTGTTTGCTATCAATTTACATTCCCCTGAACTCTACTTCCCATCATTTTTAATGAGTACTGATCAGTTATTTTGACAATGTCTTTTTGTTACTGTTTCACATTAGGCTAAGACTATGCATTTCTGGCAATGATATCATAGAAATCATGCTTTCATTTTATCATATGGGGGAAGGAGTTACAATGTCAATACAATGTTAACCATAATCAGTTAGTTAAAATGATGTTTGCCAGGCTTCTCAGTGTAAAAGTTACTATTTTTTTCTTTTGTAATAAGAAATATAGTGAGAGAGACCAGGCTTCTCAGTGAAAAAGTTACTATTTTCTTCTTTTGTAACTAAGAAATAAAGTGAGAGAGAACATTTTGAGACATTTGAGTAACTATCCTGTTACTCTTCAAACTTTCAATCACTAAGCAATTGTGAGTACAAGGTATAATAATTACTTTGTTACAACTACTTTCTTTTTTTTTTTTTTTTTTTTTTTGTCTTTTTCATTTTTTTTATGGGTACCGGGATCGAACTCACGACCGCCTGCTTGCAAGGCAGGTGCTTATGCCGCTGAGCTAAACCCCCAACCCCTAACAATTACTTTCTGATTATGGAAATATCTGAACACAAAATGGAAAAGGTTCTCTATGATTGGCAGGCAGACATAAAGATATGCATAGTATGAATGGTAGAATAGAAAAACCTTACCCATTCGAGACGGAATACTGTTATTTAACATTATTAGTAATCTGGAAGAAGAAATATAAAACATTGCTACATACTGGAATCACCTGAAAATTTTAAATAACATGGCTGGGCTGGGGATTTAGCTCAGTGGCCTAAGCGCCTGCCTTGCAAGTGCATGGTCACGAGTTTGATCCCCAGTACCAAAAATAAATAAATAACTTTACTGACTTCCACCCCAGACATCCTCATTTAATTGGTATAGATCTGACCTGCCATCCTGATTTGTAACTCGTTAAGCAAATCTGATTATATACAGCAGAATTGAGGAACCACTGGCCTAAAATAAATAAGATATGAAAACACCAGAAATTCATGATTTAAATATAAGAAACACAGGTTATACACTTGAGTGAGCACACAACTGTATTCTTTAAAAAGTTTTTCAAAAACTAACAGTTACCATTAAAAAAAAAAAAACTCATGCACCCACAAAGCTGGAAGATTAATGGGGAAAAAAACATTTAAGAAAATCAAGAGTAATGAAGGCATTTATTCCTGTGAATTCCTATTGACCACTTACCTAAAACAAGCAGATACTTTAGACACTATAATTTAAACCCATGTTAGAAATTCTTTTTCCTTTTAAGTATCTCTTCTCTAGGATAAAGAAAGTTACACCAAAAGTGAAATAAGAAGCAGTGACTTAGTAGCAAACATTTCACTAGGTAACCCCCCCCCCAAAAAAAAAATCACAGAAAGAGGGCGATCTCAGCACCCAGAAGCCTGAGGCAGGAGGTTCTCGAGTGGAGACAAGCCCGGATTACACAGCAAGACCTTGTGCACCACTCCCATCACAAAATAGATATGCGGACAAGATGAGCCACAGAGGCTTCAGTCTACATATTTACTGGAGAAGATAAGACTTTTATAACGATGGAGAATGAACAAACATGCTTTCTGCCAAGATCCTGCTTCAGGATAAGGACTACACCACTCTGAGTTCTTACATTTTGACGAATCATGAAAACTGCACAAGTCTTCAATGATTGGCAATTCTTCGCCTTTAAATATCCCGAGTTGCACAAAACAAGTTTGGAGCCCAGCAGGCTGAAACTCGTGAAGGAAAATAAGTGCGCGGGCAGAGAAAGCTTTAAGAACTACAGGGAAATATTTGTCTTTTCTACCAGAAAAATCTCAAGATCTTCCCTCTGTGATCAGCTTGTTCTCACTTGCAACCCAGTTGTGTCACTTCTCATTCTATTTCATAAACCAGCAGCCAATAAGGAGTCTGAAGACAGTGACACCGGACGCCTCTCAGTTTCCTTACCTAGGCGACAAACACCTGGGACCAAGCTGTCAACGACAGACGCAGGGATCAGGATCCACCAGAGAAAAAGCTGTCTCCTCACCCTTCCGGGGGCGGGGCAATAGTCGAGAGAGATTCGGTTCCCTCCAAGGCAGAGAATCCCGCAAGCATCTCAGGAGCGCGCCGCCAGGAACACGACTGGAGAGCCAGCGCAGTCCAGACTGACACCAGACAGCGCGCGCGCTACAAGTGGCCGTTGACGCGCCTGCGCACAATGGCCTTCCGCCACTCGCTCCGCCCACCAAGGAGGAACCTCACAACGGAGTCGCCACTTCCGTGCGCGCGTGCGCAGTCGCGGGTCGGGCGCGTGCGCAGCGCCGGGTCCTTCCCGGCTCCAGCTCCTGCAGCTCGCGCTCCTCCTCCCGCTCCCTACCACCAGCCCGCCGCGGCCCGGTTCCAACGTGTAGACCCGCCGAGTGAGGCGTCGGTGCTTAGTGCTGCAGAGACTGCCGTGTGGTCCCGGCACGTGGTGCCTGCCATGGCGATGGATCAAGTGAACGCGCTGTGCGAGCAGCTGGTGAAAGCAGTGACGGTCATGATGGACCCCAGCTCCAACCAGCGCTACCGACTAGAAGCCCTCAAGGTAGCTGGGGTCCCGACGCCCCGGGGCTGGCCGCCCTTTGCGCTCTGGGTCCCAGCCCGTGGGGAACCGATCCCGCGGAGCCTGGGCCTCCCCGCGCCGCCATCCGCGCTCTGCCCCCGCCCTTCGGCCCAGACGCTGCCAGGCTCCTCAGTCGCTGCCCGCCGCCCTTCTCCCCACGACCCCTTTGGGCCGCGATCTGCACCGGTTTTCAGCTCTTGAGCCCCACTACCCTAGCCACCACCCCACCCCACCCCCGCCGCCGCACGTGCAGATCCCGCCCCCAGTGCCAACTTGGTTCTTCAGGGTCCACCCCGCTGTGAACACCGCTGGCCTTCCTAACCGTCCTACCCAGCCTCCAGCCCCGCCCCCATGCCCGTCTGGACATCCTTACCTAATGCATAGGTGGTTGGCCGCTTTTGGGCGCATCTGCATACCCCTCCCTTGTTTTCTAAGCGTGTGATATTTGTAGGCTGTGTCATGCAAAGATGAACTTATACCACTTGCTTTGCATTTTCTCAAGGGCACTTTGGTTTCCTGAAAGTAGTTTTCTTAAGTCGGGGTTCTTTAATCCGCCGATTGTCTCAAGTGTGGTAGTTTGGGAATCGAATACTAACGGAACGGGGATGCTACTAAAATCGAGGTAATCCCCTTTCAACAACGTCTGTAGGTGCTCCTCCTGTGTATTTTATGTGATGTAACTTAATAGTCACTGCCACTTGGAGGAAACTTTACTGTGCCATGGAACTTGGAATCAAATAACTTGAGTTCTGTTTTTTGTTATAAAATACTTAGCTGGGTGTGGTGGCACACATCTGTAATGCCAATTCTGGAAAGGCAGAGGCAGGAGGATTGTTGGGAGTTTGAGGCCAGCCTGGGCCTAAATTCAAGGTTAGCCTGCACTGCAAAGTGAGACAGCTTTTCAAAGCTCCCCACCCACCCATATAAAAAATAGGCACAAAAGTAGAGAATTCTACAGTGGTCACACATATACGTGTCATGTTATACAGCTTTTAATATTTTTATTTTGTTTTATTCCCCCCCTCCAAGGTTTTAAAGCAAACTCCAAGAATTGTCATTCTGCCACAATATACTTCAGAGATGTATTTCTTAGTTTTTTTACTCCTTTAGGTCAAATTATTTTTTCAGTGATCATAAGGTTACTAGTGGCCACAGCATGACAAATATACCATCAAAGTGAAAGAGACATTTATCAGTTGTTTACTTGCATAATGTTGAGCTAGGGTTTGCAACTAAGTTTTTTTTTTTTTTTTTTTTTGTCTTTCTCTCTTAGCTCCCCAAAGGAAATACTAACTTTGCTTCTTTCAGTTTTGTGAAGAGTTTAAAGAAAAGTGTCCTATCTGTGTCCACTGTGGCTTGAGGCTAGCTGAGAAAACACAAATTGCCATCGTCAGACACTTTGGTCTTCAGATACTGGAACATGTTGTCAAGTAAGGAACTCTTGGATATGACTGCTGTAGGCTGTGAGAATGCAAATCTGTATTTCTTATGTAACTTGCATGTTCATTTGTGTGCTTATTCATGAGTTTGAACCTTTTTCATGCATTCAAAAATCAACTGAGCTGGAGTTTTAGCTCAGCAGCACAAGTCCCTGCCTGGCAAACACAAGGTTATGAGTTTGATACCCAGTACCAAAAAGAAAAAAAAGTGGATAGAAAAAGCTTAACTGACAGCTGCTACTCTTATTTGTCTGGTATTTTGAGCTCCTACTGTGCTACACAGATCACACGAAAGATCACGCAATCTCACTGGAGAAATCCAGTGCATAGGTAAACAAATCTGTGATAAGGCACCTTGCCTTTTTTTTTCTGTTTGAGTGTGGGTCTTCCCTGAATGGCAGATGGACAGCAGGCTTTTATGAAAAGAACTGAAAACTCCTGACTTCAGTCTTTTTAAACTCACCACCTTTCAGAACAGTTAGATTTTAAGTTTTTCTGAAATACAGTAAAACAATATAGAAACCCAAAGTTTTTCTGAAATACAGTAAAACAATATAGAAAGAGAACAACATCAAGATTTATATTTTCTAGCCTAATATGGTAGTATACACCTATAACCCCTGCTCTCTGGGAAGCCAAAGCAGGGGCTTTAAAAGTGTGCACCTAGCCTGGGCAATTTAGTGATTTAGTGAAACCCTGTCTCAAGTTTAAAAAGGGGTAAGGATGAGCTTAGTGCAAGGGCTGTGGGTTCAATCCCCAGCATCCCTGACCACTTTACTACCCCTCAAAAGACAGATTTTCTGAAAAGCGGCTATAGTACTAGAGTCATCCTTAGATGTACAGTTACTTTTGGGCTATTAGTAAGAACTTGAGAGAAAAGCTGGTTTGTGGCACAAATGCTTTGTGAGTAAACTGAAGCGCATTTAAAATCTTTTCCCAAAGCATTTTTCTACCCATTCTCCAAAGGCACAAAGTCAGAAATACAATTTTTTTTTTTTTTTAAAGAAATTGCCAGTGGAATCAAATGCGGGAATCAAAGCTATTCTCCTGTGAAAAAATGACATCTGACATGGTTCTGTTGCTTTTTGTGTTTGGGTGACAGGTTCCGGTGGAACAATATGTCTCGCCTGGAGAAGGTCTTCCTTAAGAACAGTGTCATGGAGCTGATTGCCAGCGTAAGGACGGGATGGCTGGGGACTTAGGTTTCCTTGTACTTACTGTTGGGGTACTCACCAGTTGGCCTAGGCCAGGCAGCATAATGATTGCTTTTGCCTTCAAAGAAAAGAAAAAAAACTATAGCAAGAGATCGTAATTCATCCCATTTCTCTTATTAGATTTAAACGGTTACCTTGTGGGTGGACTTTTGTTTTAAAACCATAGCAGGCAGAGGAGTTTAAACATTTTCAGCAAGTGAATGAATAAGGTTCTTAGATCTAAATTAGATTGAAACACCATCCACATTGCTACCTGTTAGCCAAACCAAACTATCATGTGACACTCATAACACCAACAACAAAAATACAGAATGAATTTGTTTAAAGTATTTGAATAAGACTTTAAATATGTTTAAAGTCCACAATCCTTTTCTCTTTTTTTAATGAAGGGCACAAAATGTGGAATTCCCTATCCATTTCATGCTTGTTAAAAGGAAAAGTATTCCCTTCAAAATTATGAAATAACTTAGCCAACTAGGACTTCTGTTTTACTAGTTCTGTGGAAATTGACTCATTAGTCTTGATAGCACATTTAATAAGAGAACTTAGTAGTAGTTTTTTAATATTTTCCCTCATAGTAGAAATATTAATAAAATAGTCAATTCCCCCTCTATACCCTCCCATTTTATCAGCCTCTCAATGATAGTTGTTTTCAGTTGTTGACCTTCTTTAAAAAATAAAGTAAACCAAGCCTGTTGGAATTCTGGCTGAGGCAAGAAGGTCACAAGTTTTAAGTCCAGCCTAAGAAACTTATCTAGACCCTGGCTCAGTAAATGGCTGAGGTTTTAGCTCAGTATGAAGGCCCTTAGTTCAATTCCCAGTATCACAAAAAACAAAACATATGCCAGGCGTGGTGGCACATGCCTATAATCCCCCAGCACTCGGGAGGCTGGGATAGAAGGATCACTACAAGTTTGTGGTCAGCCTAAATTAAAATGTAGTGAAACTTTGTCTCAAAAAGAAAAAAGAAACAGTAACAACAACAAAACCCCATAAAAACATGAAGCAAAATGGAAGTGTCTGTGGTTTGCAAAGAGCAGTGATGTTTTCCTGACTCCATGTGACAACGATTTCACTAGCTGACGCAACCTTCATTTAAGCTTGAGAAGAATGACTGGTTTGTGGGCAGGTCAGGTGTTTCAGACAGGGAGAACAAATTTGCTGCTTTAGTTTTACAGCGTGTCTGCTGATGAGTTTTGTACATGTGGCAGCCCAGGTTTTCCACTTGGAATTCAGTCCTACAGACCCCTTTACATCCTTGTTCTTTTTCAGGGAACAATGAACATTTTGGAAGAGGAGAACCACATTAAAGATGGTCTGTCGCGAATCGTGGTGGAGATAATCAAGCGCGAGTGGCCACAGCATTGGCGCGACATGCTGGCAGAGCTGGACACGCTGTCCAGACAAGGGGTACGGAGAGGGCTTGTTCATAGGCAGACCCTGGAGCTTCCTTCCGGGGGGGTGCTGGCTGCTGCCCTGTCTGTGAGACAAAGCGTCAGATGCTCCTGTGATGAACAGAGTGCTCCGGTCTAAGGTCTGCTAGCTTATTTCTGTTGTACAGGAAACTCAGACGGAACTGGTGATGTTTATCCTTTTGCGCCTGGCAGAAGATGTAGTGACCTTTCAGACTCTTCCCTCTCAAAGAAGAAGGGATATCCAGCAAACCTTAACCCAGAACATGGAGAGTATCTTCAGTTTCCTACTCAACACACTGCAGGAGAATGTGAACAAGTACCAGCAGATGGTGAGGGACTCCCCACCCCACAAGCGCCCTGTGTTCTAACATACAGGTTTGGTTTTTAGTTAAAATGCTCTTTCAGGAAGTTAGTAGGGTACCTAGGTTAGCAGCAGGAAAAAGTCATTCTGGTTTGGTTTTTTTTGTTTTTTTTTTTTTTGTTTTGTTTTTAATTTATTTTAACAGTACTGAGGATTGAA